TTCTATTGACCTTCTTAATCCTTCTTTTGACATTCTTACTCCTTTCTATTGACCTTCTTATTCCTTTTTATTGACCTTCTTATTCCTTTCTATTTACTTTCTTATTCATGTCTATTGAAAATTCCTTCTTATTCCTTTCTCATGACCTTCTCATTCCTTTCTATTGACCTTCTCATTCCTTCTTATTCCTACTATTGACCTTCTCATTCCTTCTTATTCCTTTCTATTGGCCTTAGTCCTTTGTATTGACCTTCTTATTCCTTCTTATTCCTTTCTATTCTTCTTCTTCTTCTTCATTCTTATTCTTTTTTATTGTCCTTCTTATTCTTCTTATTCCTTTCTATTGTCCTTCTGATTCCTTCTTTTTCCTTTCTATTGACCTTCTTATTCATTTCTATTTCTGTTTATTGTTTCTTTTCTTTCTTATATCTTCCTATTGACCTTCTTCTTCCTTCTTATTCCTTTCTATTGACCTTCGAATCCTTCTGATTCATTTCTATTCGCTTCTTATTCCTTCTTATTCCTTTCTATTGTCATTCATATTCCTTCTTATTCTTTTCTATTGACCTTCTTATTCATTTCTTTTGACATTTTTATTCCTTTTCATTGACCTTCTTCTTCCTTTCGATTGACATTCTTATTCCTTTCTATTGTCCTTCTTATTCCTTTCTATTGACCTTCTCATTCCTTCTTATTCCTTTTTAATGACCTTCTCATTCCTTCTTATTCTTTTCTAATGACCTTCTCATTCCTTCTCATTCCTTTCTATTGACCTTCTTATTCCTTCTTATTCCTTTATATTGAACTTCTTATTCATTTTAATTCCTTTCTATTCTCCTTCTTATTCCTTCTTATTCTTTTCTATTGACCTTCTTATTCCTTCTTATTCCTTTCTATTGGCTTTCTTATTCATTTCTATTGCTATTGACTTTCTTATTCCTTGTTATTCGTTTCTAATGCTTTCTCATTCCTTTTTATTCCTTCTATTGATCTTCTAATTCCTTTTTATTCCTTTTTATTGACAATCTCATTCCTTTCCATTGATCTTCTCATTTCCTCTTATTCATTTCTGTTGACATTCTCTGGCCTTCTGATTCCTTCTTATTCCTTTCTATTGACCTTAGCATTCCTTCTTATTCCCCACCCCACCCCACCCCACCCCACCCCGCCCCACCCCACACCAGCCACCACACCACACCCCACACCACACCACAGCACAGCACACCACACCACACCACTTCACACCCACCACACCACACCACACCACACCACACCCATACCCACACCCACACCCACACCCACACCCACACCCACACCACACACCACACTACACCCAGCTAGCAATCTATCCTTCTACCCATCTACTTATGTGTCTGTTGATCTGTTCTTTATGTATATATCTATCTAGCACCCTCCACTGTCAGTGGGCTTTCAACACCTTTTTGATTCCAAACCTTTCAACATTCAACCCCTCTCGACCCCTTTCATCCCTACCCCTTTCGGCCCCAACGACCTTGTTTGGACACCGAACGACATCTTTCGACCCTTTCAACTCTTTGGACCCCTTTAAGACCCCTTTCGACCGCTTCCCATCTTCGGCCCCTTTGACCCTCTCAACCCCTTTGCATCCGTTCGACCCCTTTCGACCCCTTTCGACCCCTTCCGACCTCTTTCGACCACTTTCGATTTTGACCGCTTTGACCTCCTGCAGCCGTTTCGACCCGTTTCGACCCCTTTCCACTCTTTTCGACTTTGACAACCCTTTCGACCACTTTCTTTCGAACCGTTTCAACCCTTTTGGACGCCTCCGTTGACCGCTTTCGACCTCGTTCGACCCCTTTCCTTTCAACCCTTTGGACGCCTTTGAACCCCTTTCGACCCTTCTCACCACCTCTTTCGACCTGCTTTGCCCTTTCCCTTTCTTCAACCCGTTTCGACCCGTTTCGACCCCTTTCAGACCTTTCGACCCCTTTCGACCCTTTCGACCACTTTCGACCCCCTCTTTTGACCCCTTTCGACCCTTCTTTTTGAGCTTGGACCCCGGCCTTTTGACCCCTTTCGACCCGTTTCGACCCCCTTTCAACCCCTTTCAACCTTGTTCGACCCCTTTCAATTCTTTTTTATCCCTTTCGAACCCTTTCAACTCCTTTCGCCCCTTCACCTCTACCACTTTCGACCCGTCAAACTCTTTGGACCTCTCGACCCCTTCGACCTCTTTGGGCCTCTTTTGACCTTTCGACCCCTTTCGACCCTTTTTGAGCTTGGACCCCTTTCAACCCCCTTTCGACCTTTCGACCCTGTTCGACCCCTTTCAATTTTTTCGACCCCTTTCAAACCCTTTCAACTCCTTTCGACCCGTTTCCACCCCGCTTCGACCTCTCGACCCCTTTCCACCCCTTTCGACCGCTTTGGACCTCTTTGGTCCCCTTTCAATCCCTTACCCGCGGCCTACAGCAAGGCCGGGGACGCGGACGCCGTCTCCAGCGGTTCCACCTCCGAGTCAGAGGAGGCGGAGCCATCGATTGGTATGGCTCGGTACCACCCCCCCCCCATCCCGAAGCTAGTTTTTGCCATTCAAATGGGGATTCGGATCTTTTGGAATTTGTGGCGTTCCTTTTGGTTTCCCCTTAGAACCAGCCTGAAAAGTGTACTCTCCAAAACCACGCGTTGTGACATAGATGTCTGTAGCCGCACAGTAGCCAGCGCTTTTTTGTTTTTGCTTTCTTATTTTTTGCTTTTCTGGTCGAAAGGCTTTTGCTGTGCTACAGTAGCCCGGGGGAGGGAAGGATTTTGGTTGAGCCCCGGATGAAGTCGTGAACGGTTAGATTTTGAGGCACCACCTTTGCAAGGGCTAGATCGATACAGCTGCTGTCTTGGAAGCTTTCCGGGTGTCTCAAAGTGGGAGAATTACGGACCCAAAAGTTTCTCTAGGAAAAAGCTCAGACAAGAAGGTAGAACAACTCAAAAGACATGTTACAGACAATTCTCACAGGGGGCTTACTCAGAATATTGGCCCCCACCTGGTTCCCTGCAACCAACCAAAACGTCCGAATCCCATGTCGAGAATCATTCATCTGGCTGGGTGTTTTTTTTGAGGGTATTGATGGGTCCCCCTTTTTGTGGTCGGCTGCCAAGGGCAACCAAGAGGAACCCCGCCAATTTTTGGGGCTATTTTTGTAAGGGTTGATTCCCCATTGTTTCGTCACACGCGCACTCAGTGCAACGATCGGTCTTTCCAGCCGGTTTCGGCTCAGTTTTTGATTTTTTCTGCAGCGAGCACTGACGCATGCAGAAAGTTGTCCTGCGGGCTCGGGGTAGGGCCAATAGACAAACAACCCCTTCCCCTGACCTGCCAAAGTCATGCCGCTGCAGGCCATCGATCTACTGGCAGCGTTCTGTTTTCAGGGGCATCGTTCTTTCCCCAACCATCGTTCTTTCCCCAACCATCGTTCCTTCCCAACGACCATCATCATTTCCCTTCTTTCCCCACCCCATCATTCTGTCCCCCAGCATCGTTCTTTCGATCAAAGATCAGTGTGTCCCTGTTGTTATTTTTTTCGCTTTTGCATCTGTTTTTGGTGAAAATGGGAAAACCAGAAAGAATGGGGAAGTATTGTATGAGGCCATATTTTCGGTTAAAACCCATTCTTTCCAAGCATCCAATTTTCTAGGATTTCCGGTCTTTCCTCCCGAAAGTGATGACAACTGCTGTGTGGGCTGCTGCGTGGGCCCCCATTGAAAGAATGAGGAAGTGAATTGGAAGCTTGTGGAAAATTGGATCGCGGGCACCACTTTGGTGGGTTGGCTGATGAGGGGCCCGCGGTGCCATCAGGAGGATGCTTCAATGCTTGCCGTGAAGCCACGGGCTGTATGTTTGTCAGTGTCGCCTTGGCAATGATTCATGACATGGATGTGGGCAAAACAAGAAGGGCAAGGCTGACCGCCCCTGCTTGGGAGAGGCCTGGTGGGCTGCTGGGAGTCGGCAAAGGGAGAGAATTGGAATTGTTGAGTTTTAGCCTTGCTTGGGTGGACTGCTTTGATGGCAATTGTTGTTGCATCCATTTTGGGGGATAATTGGGCTAGCTCTTCAGAATGGGGTGGTGTGGCTTAGAATTTTGAGACCAAGCCTTCAAGCAAAAGCATGGCTGCCCCGAGCACTCTGCCGGCAGGCGCTGGCTTTGGGCGACGTCTGGGTCCAAGTTAACACGTCTTGCCTCGAGCTACCGGCAAAGGCTTTGTTCCTTTTTTTTGTTTCCGGGGGGGGGGTGCAACTTTGTTGCCAGACGAGCTGACCTTCCTTTCGAAAACCGGCAAGAAATCACGGATCGCGTGGCGCATCGCGACAGTCCAATTTTGAGGGAGCATCCCTTCCCTTCAAACAATTCCAGGGCCCCTCCAAAAAAAACATCTACGTTTGAAAAGAAAAGACGCCCAAATTGCAATATCAACCTTGAAGGCACATTGAAATGCACCTATCATTGTTTTTGCTAAGAATAATCATTTTGATGTGTCCAGAGGTTCCCTGCAATCCAAGCTCCTAAACCTATCTGACCATGTTAGAACATCAACAGCCAAGAACCTTCGGACCTTCGGCCTCCCGCTCAGCCGCTGGCTCGAGCTGCGTGGCGTGGAGGAAGCGGACCAAGAGTTGCACCTTGCCGGGGGCCATGGGTTTCAGGGCAAGCTGAAGGAGGTCGTAAAACCAATCGAAAAAAACGGAAGAGCAAAAGTGTACGTGTACACCAGAGGTATGCAACAAGCCAGCAACAGAACACCCAACAAAGGCCAAGAAACCAAAGGGGGGGGTTGCCAAAAAGCAACAAGGACTACCAGTGAGCGGTTTAACCTTGAGTAGTGCCCTTGTACCCTTTTTTGGGGGAGGGTTTTTTTCTACGAAAATAGACAAGACCGGGAAAAAATTAAGAAAACACAAAACACATCGGGTACCCTTATTCTAACCTCTCTACTGGCGGACGTAGCCCCTGAGAACCGCCTTCCCCATGGCGGCCATGGCGTCCAGCCCCGAGCTCTGCGGGCGCGAATCGGAGCGGAGCATCGCGGAAGTCGTCCAGGCGGCACGCGCGATGACGGGGAAGCCCGCCCCTCGGCAGCCCCGCGAATCCGCGCGAGAGGAAGGCGGAGGAGAGCGGAGTGAAATGAAGCCGGGCAGGGTGTACAGTTTTTTTTCACCCACAAGCTTGGGGGGGTTCGGGGGGAATTTGATGTCTCAGCTGTATCACTTTGGGTGAAAGTACATCAATCTTAATTCGTCTATTTTGAACAGTTTGGTTAATTCCTCGGAACCTTGACAAACGCGTCCCTTGCCCACCAGATACAGCTGAGTGCTGCGAACACCGGGATTTTGACTTGAGCGTTCCACACCCGGAAGCAGGTCGTTGAGCCAACACTCTAGAAACTAAACTGCAGGGATTCCTATTTTGAGGAATAAGGAGGGGGCAGCAGGCTGTCTGGCCCCTTTTTCCATTTGGACAGAGGGACTATCAGTGGAGAGAATCTTTGTGGGTTGTTCCAACCTTGGGGGAGGATTCATTCATGTGGCAAGCTGCAGAGAGTCAAGCAGGGGTTCGGTTCCAGATTTGAACCCGTTTTGGTGCAAATTGGTACGTGCCGGTGAAATGGACACCAGCGAAGTTCGAAGTTCTCACAGCCAGGCTTCATCTTGGGCATTTTTTGTTCGCACCATGGCCGGAAGTGGGAATAGCCAGCTTTGGAGAGCTTCTAGTTGACAACTATCCAGGGAGACAAGGCTTTGCAGGATATGGGTGTGGCTCAGAATTGGGCCAATCGCAGGTTTCAGTCTTTGGTTCCATTTACCAAGGTGCCAAATTGGTACAATGCTTGGGGCCACAGCCATATGTGCCTGCACCCGCCGCTATCCCAACTGAGATGCACCCAAAACTACCAAACACATGCTCAATGCATGTTGGTGGGCACTACCTTGTGGACCTTTGCTCAGAGCCGACTTCTCAGGCTGCCACACCCCGTTCTTTAGTTTCTGGCTCTCTTCTTTGGAGTGTCATTCTCGGGGTCCAAATGCTTAAGCATGGAACCACACCTTTGGAAAACTGAACTGTTGCAATGGCCCTAGGGGCAACTTGGGCGGCCAATCAGAGCTTCGGCCGATCTAAACTGAGGCGAACCAAAAGGGAAGCCATGTGTCCAACTTCCGGTGCCCCTTCAGGCTGAAGCTGGGGGAAAACACACGAGGAACCCAACCTCCTGTTGCGTGTCCAAATCCCTACTTTGACCAGCCATAATTATGGGGAAAAACCGCATGGTTCCTGGGCAGCTACGTTTGGTACTCAACTGATGTACCCACATATTTCTGAGCTGGTTCCTCCATTTCCCCTTTTGGGAACCTCCAAAAGTGGTAGGTTCAATGGAACCCTGCATTTTGCAGGGGCCATGCAGGGATGGTTGGGATCTTAGATAACACAAGACAAAAAAGCACCAACAAAAAAACCACATGACAAACAACAAGAAGAACACACAACAACACAACAAAAAGCAACAACAAAACACAACCACAAACAAAAAACAACAACGAACAACAACAACAAACAACACAACAACAAGAAACAACAAACAAACAAAAACAACAACAAGAGACAACAAACAACCCAAATGTGCCCAACCCCCACCCCAAAAGGTCGCTTTGTCCGAAGGCGCGGCCCTCGGACGAGGAGCTGGTGGAATGGCTGGAGGACCAGGAGGTGACCTGCGAGAAGGACGGAGTGGTGGCCGGCGGAAGAGTGGGGGGGGCGACTTCGGGGAGGGGGGGGAGGGGTGGCTTTGGGGTTGTTTTGGTTTGTTTTTTGTTTTTTGTGGGGAGGGGCGGGGGGCTGGTGTTTTTTGGGTTGGGGGTGAGGGGGCGGCATCGCTTTTTACGGGAGCTTGGAAAGGGTCCAAGGGTCTCTGGACAGCTTGGGAAGAAGTACTTGAGGCTGGGCGTTTCAGTCTTAGAAACAATGCCTGGCCCTCGTTGCCATGGAGTAAAACCAATTTCCGTCTTGGAGCCTGTGCTGCGGCGTTCGGTGATTCGGTGCGCAGGACTTGCTGCAACTGTCGGAGCCGGGCTTTTCGGCGGTGAAACGCGCCCCCGGGGCGTCCTTGGTGCTGGTGGATGCCTTGGAGAAGCTGCGCCAGGCGCGCGGAAGGGCCCAGTGTCCGGCGTAAGCAGAACCCGCGACCAAGCAATCAAGGTCTCAATGGGGGTAGCCGAACGGAACGGGATTCAGCAGAACCCCTGCTCGATCTTGAGAGATGGGGTGTTTTCTGTGTAGTGGGTGGCCCAAAAACGCAACCCCCCCAATGGGTTTTTCCATGTGGGGTCAACAGTACTGAAAAGTCGGCAAGACTTGGAGGGCAATTGTTGTGCCTTTGAATTGCGGAGTGAAGACTTTTGGTACCAGGTTGTGAATACGCACCCTGAGGCAATTTCCATGTTTCCTTTCTGTGAGGTGGGGTTCCCCTTTTCGGGTTCATCAGTGCCCCCCCGCCCTGCGGATCCCAGGCGTTTCGCCCTTGGGTAGCCCTTCACTGTGCCCCCTGGAAAGAGAGCTCACGGATCAGGCGCAGGAGAAGGCAATTCCGGCGGAGCAGGTGCCGGAGAGGGAGAGCGACGCCAGGAAGGCCGGTGCTTTGGACGCTCGTTTTTTTTCCTTCTTCCTTTCTTGTTTCCGTGGGGAGGGGGCGGGGGGATGGGTCTCTTGGGTTCCCCCTTCCTTGTTTTTGTTGGGGGGTAGGGGAGGGCTCCCTTGGGTTCCCTCATTGCTTTTTTGTTTCTTGCGGGGGGACCTTTGGGGGAGGATTCCGGAAGAGTGCCTTGAACCCCTCGACACCAACAAACAGCGGGCCAATTGGAGGATCTCCTTGTAAAAGATCGACCGAACAGTGGAGGGGAAGTTCAGGTTTTCCATTTTAAGCGTAAGGTCAGCGGCCTATGGTATCCTAAACTTGTTTTTGGGCTGGGGGATGCCTTTTCTTTTGTGATTGGGATGCCAAAGGGAGATGCCAACCTTTGAGTTGTCGGGGTGCGAGGCAGCTGCCCAATCAGGCAGGGTGTCCAATTTGCGAAATCAGCTTCTCAGGTCCAAAGGAATCCACGAAGTTGTCCTACCAAGTTACAGCCTGGGACCCATGGTTCTAACTTCTAAGCCTGTAGTTTGAACCGAAAGATCTTGAAGATCCAAGTAACTGATAAACACTTAAGTAGGTACAAGTCACTCATAGGTACTTGTGGCCCTTGAGTAGGTTGAACATCCAAGTGCCAAGCCCAAAACAAAAAGCCGCCGCCGCCGTCGCGCGCTTGCCTGCCTCTCCAAGCCGCCAGAAAGTGGAGCCGAAGCCTGCAGACCCGCCCCTCATCAAGCGGCTCAGCTCCAGCACGCCCAGCGTGGAGATGGAGGTCCACGGCTTCACAGGCGCGCTTCGATCGATCCCGGATCCGCGCGGAAGGCAGCGCGAAGTGGGCGGGTCGCGCGGAAGGCGGCGCGGGGCTTGTTGAGGGTCTGCTTGTTTCAATTCAACATACGGTAACATACGTATATAAATATATATGCATATATGCTATATATATATATATTATATACATATATTTTTATATATATGCATATATGCTATATATATATATACACACTATATATGTATGCATATGTTTATATACATATATGTAGATGTGTCAAGCATGAAGATATGATGTTGCAACTTGGTTCCAACGTGATCGCAACGTATCATTGCCTACTTATCAAAGTAACACATCGTTGGATGGAGATACGGGGGGATCCCTACTCAGATTACGAATGTGTGGCAACCACACGATTTGAATCTGATAAAACTGATCTCAGATTGGGATGACTGGGCTGTGCAAAGCGCATGGACAGGTTGCAGGAATAACCGCACCCCTTACATGATCCCAATCGCTGTGTGATTGGTGCAACATCCGACTCGACCTAATCTTGACCAGACTCACCCCCCAAGTCTTTATTCTGTACCTACCTTACCCCTTACACCGCAAAACTCAAATGCAAGCGCACTCCACAAGCTGCCCCTCTTCCTTTCCTCTCTTGCTGGGCGTTGTTTTTGGACCTAGTGGGTCTAGCGAATCTAGAGTTGGTTGATCCATTTTGTCCTTCCCTTTTCCGACTTTTGGCTCCCTTTCCATGTTTTTGTTTGATCCTTCCGTTTCCGATTTTTGGTTGACGCCTTTCCCTTGCGCCTTGCAACATTTCTTCTGGCTTGACCCATTCAAACCACTTCCGCATTTCCTCTTCTCGTCGGAAGTCACTAGCCACTAGGCCGTCCACTCTTTGTCCTTCCACCCCACCAATCTCCCCTTCCCCTTCCCAGGTGTTTGGGTTTGTCTTCCCTCCTTTCATGGTTGTTGTTGGGAAACATTTTACATTGTTGCTTATTGTAGTTTTAGTGGTTGAAATCCCCACAACAACTGCTAAGCTTATACATTGTTGCTCCCCTTCCAACGTCCACCAAGCTTTTTCAGGGCTTTGACCCTCTCTGCCTGTTTGAAACGACCCCTTGACCCCTCTTGCCCAGGCATCATCACCATGTGCAACGAGGCGAAGCGGAACGCCTTGTCCCACCAGGCCAGCCGGCGGCCAACTCCCCCACGAATGGTGTTGATATTGGGCGTGCTTTAACTCTTTTGAGGCTCCGTACCCCTTTTTGTGTGGTTTTTAACGGGGGGTCGAAGGACAACAACTTCTTCATTTTTTCAGTTATTCATTTTTTTTCTCGGGGGGCTGTCCCCTAAAAGGAGACAAACTGGGTGCTATCCCTTTTGTCCATCCACACAAGCCACACGATTTGTGAAACGTCGCCAACCACAGAAATGCCAACCAGCCAACCAAAAGGGACAGGCGTGTTCAAATTCTGGGTGCTATCCACCTTGTCCATGTATGCTTGGTTTTCACGCAACTTCAGAGCTTTATATGCTATAAAGATCAGGTGGCGGATCGTTTCAATGGAAACCAGCAGTAAAATGATTCACTTTTGGGGAAATCCCTTCGTGCCCCCTGTACTAAAGAGAAAACTGAAGGGGAAATCCGTCCGTAATCTCTGTACTAAAGACAAAACTGAAGACAAGAAACAGCAATGCGTGGAGGTCCCTTGCCTCAGGGCTTTTTGCGCCTTCACTCGGCACCTTTCTTTACTGTTCAGGACTCAGGGATTCCCGAAGAAAGGACACCCACGGGTTGGATGGCTTCTTTTAGACTCTTGGAGTCATGTTTATAGGGAGTCATGTCTATATTGAACGGATTTGTCTTGTTTCTCGGATTCCATTTCTCACAAGACAAATCCCGGGGCCTCAGGTCTGCGAGGCCCTGAGCGGTTTGCTGGACCGCTGCTGCTGCGCCGGGGTGCGGGTGGTGATTTTGAGGTCCTCCTCCGGCCAGAGGCGTTGGGAGGGACGGGGGGGTGGTCGGGGAGTGGGGGGAACGAGGGGGGTGGGGGGGGGGGGTTGGGTCCGGGTTTGGGGCGGTTTCTGGAACCTAACCCAAAGTGACGGTTATCCTTGGGAGGCTAGCTCTGAACCACGCAGATGCTGGCGCTATTTTTCTGAAGATGCGATGTTCCGTGGCATTAGAGAGTATGTGGGAGGACGAAGGGAGGTTGCAGCTTTTGGAAGTTGTAGCTTTTGTGAGAACAGGAAGCTGTATGTCTTTGTTGGGGGTTACCTGGGGAGGGGGAGTGAGTTTGAGGTTTGCAACAAAGGATCATCTTTCTGGCCATTGGGTGCAATTAACTTTTCATGTTTAAGATGGGTGTGCACTGATTGGCTGATGCTTTCACCGTTGAGCTGGTTTCTCAACACGGGATTTGGTTTCAGCCCCCCAAAAGTTGGTTGGTGTCTTGAAGGGGACGCCAAAAGGAAACCGTTCGCTAGTAAAGGGGACCGTGATTTTTTGAGGGGGGGGGTCTGACCAAACTATGAGTATTTGTTTTGAACCAGGTGTGTTTGTTCAGCCGAGAGAGAGCAGCCTGCAGAACTATGGGCCCTTCCCAATAACGAGGAAGATAACAGAAAGGTTTGGAAACACTACATCCCTTTAGGTTCTGGTGCGAGAGATGCAGATGAGAAATGGAGTCTGACCCCCACCATCCAACCGGCTTCCTTTCAGGGGACCAATTGGGTTCATTCTCTCATACTGAGCACCAGCAAGTTTAGGAAGCTTCGTTTGGCCAAGAGACGCGGCACGTACTTGCGTGCCTTTCGGCAACCACTCCCTGCTCAAGTTTCAGGAGCCCGAAACATAGCCCGTCGCCTTTGGTTTACGGAAGCCCCACGCCAATTCCCGACATACGCGCCGAACAAGAAATTTAGCCCAGAAATCCCACATGCATTCTGCTCTCTGCTCTCTGTCTCTCTCTCTCTCTCTCTCTCCCTCTCTCCCTCTCTCCCCCCCTCCCTCCCTCCCCTCCCCTCCCCTCCCTCCCTCCCTCCCTCCCTCCCTCCCTCCGTCCCTCCGTCGCTCGCTCGCTCACTCGCTCTCTCTCTCTCTCTCTCTCTCTCTCTCTCTCTCTCTCTCTCTCTCTCCCCTCCCCCTCCCCCTCCCCCTCCCCCTCCCCCTCGCCCTCCCCCTCTCTGTCTTTTTCAAGCAGGAGATGGATTCCCGCCAACAGCTGCTCAAAAGGGACTCTCCCCAGATTTTCGGGACGCACGGCTGTTTCTGCCAAGTCGGAAAACGCTCTCTTTATTTGTTTGGGCCAGGTTTCTGTTCGTTGTTTTCCCAGTCAAAAAAGTCGACGCTCCCGTTTTCCCCGTTGCTTCCCCTGGCCATCCTCCCGTCCTCGCCCGCGTCGGCGAATCCGATCGCAGGGTGTGGAGCGCGGGCCACGACGTGCGGGACTTCAAGCGGGTGGACGGGTCGCCGGCGCAGAGCTTCGGCAGCTCCAAGTTCCAGGCGGGGGAAGGTGATGGAAGATCTGGCCAGTTGGCGGGTTTTTTTGGGGGGGTTGGGGGGGGTTTGGGGGGGGTTTGGGGGGGTTTGGGGGAGGTTTGGGGGAGGTTTGGGGAGGTTTGGGGGATGTTTGGGGAGGTTTGGGGGAGGTTTGGGGGAGGTATTGGTCGGAAAAGTGGAGGTTTTGAGCGGTATTGGGCGAGGGTGTCGGGCGCAAAACTGGCCCATGAGTTGCTTTGCAGAGTGATCTGATCCACTCGTTGAATGTGATAGCTTATTGAGACGTGCAGAAGGGGAGTGTTGGATTGATTTGCGCTGCTACCATGTAGTAGCCCGCTTGCATGGTGACAGGTCAACTGTGATCAACTATTATGATGCTTGAGAGGCACTTCAGCCAGATACCGAGCGGGGCAAGTCTGGACTGATCAATTGTCATACAAACAGCACAATAGACACAGCGACGCTCGTATGCACCTTGGATCTATGTCTATGGACGTTTCGCCGCAAAGCTCCAGGATCCTCTCTCCAGCGAGGACTCCTTTGTGAAGCTGCTTGACCGGATCAGGACCGGAGTCCGCCGGAGTTCGACTTTCTCGACTTTCCCCGAGGTGTCTTTCCAAACGTGGCCGTCGGATCGCATTCCGGGCCATCTTGGACTCAGCGCGGTTCCTAGGATCTGGGGCCTTGTGTAGACTTTTCAAGGCGTGTCTGCAAGAGTCGCCTCCTTTGGCAGGATTTGAGACGGGCTTGTCTCAAATATACATACCCCAGGCCCTCGAATGGGTTGTTTTCCTTTTGGTTTCCCTTTAAACCAACCCTAGAAGGGGACCCTCAAACAAATGCACACACAGTGGACGTTGTCTGCAATTGGGGACCCTTGAACATGGGGGTGTTTTGTTTGAGGGTGTTCTTGTTGGGGTTGGTTGAAAAGGGAAACCAAAACGGAAAACTCGAAATCCATTTTGGGGGGGCCCTGTTTGACACATACCAAAAGTCAAAAGTGGTTGATTTCTTTTAGTCGCCTTTCAGCGCCATGAGCCAAAACATTTCCCAACGGGACAGCACTGAATTGGCGAAGCGTCTCGGCCGGTGATCCAGCAAACAAAAATGTATACCAGCACCCTCCAAGAGTGGTCCATTTGTACCTCATGTGCCCTTTTGTGGTTGCCATTTTGGGTACCAATTGACAACCCTTGGAGGGTGCTGGTAAGCAATTGTTGAACCACCCTCCTCGCTTGCTTGTAAGACAGTCCCTAGCATAGCCAATATGAGTACAGGTCGAGAAAAGAGAAAGAACATCAGCATGGACATGCCATATATCATTTCCAGCTTTCCTAGAACCCACCTGCGTCCGGCGCCCAAACACCCCTGTTCACGCGATCGACCTCGCGGAATGTACGGAACATAGGTGTCCTTTTTAGGTGAGTTTGGTTAAACGTAGATGGGTTCCACTGGTTTAGGGCTTTGTTCCATTGACCAGGGCCACCGATTTTTCCCAAAAGGCCGTCGTTTTTTCTGTAATACCTACCCTTTTTGCTTTTCAGGAGACTGACTCATTTCTTTTTCTGTGTTCACTCCCCTTATACTCGCTATCTAACACTACGGATTTTTTTTGCGACCGAACGAGCGAGTCGAGAGGAACCTCCCGGTGCCGGTGATCGCTTCCATCGAGGGCACAGTCTGGGGGGGCGCCACCGACATTTGCGCCTGCTGCGACGTGCTGATCTGCACCCCGACTCGCGGCCAAAAAGGCGTCGCAGATCAAGGCGGAGACCTTTTTTCCGCCGGTGAAACAGAGGGACTTTCGGGCCAAAGCTGCAAATTGTTTTTATGTTTGGACTTCATACTCGGCCATTTCGTTTCGGGCCAAAGCTGCAAATTGCTCACTTCACTTCATGCTCTTCGGGAAGATCATTTCAGTGGACCATTTCGGTTGGAGGGTTTGGGGATTGGATTTCCAAGCTGAAGGTTTTGGATCAACAGTATCCCACTACATGTAAGCGATTTAGGCACTAGTAGTCTATTGTTGATCGCCGCTTGGTCCGTGTCCCTCGCGACTTGTTGTTTCCCTTGAAACTGCCATTTGGAGGGTGTGGAGCATGTCACTTGAGTGGACGCGGCACGTTGCGAATGATGCTCCCGGCAAAGGAACATTCATGCAGGGCCTTCTGCCCCCCTAAGCAACATCTCATGGCCATGGACAAAAAACACATCTTGCTGTCCCTGGCATGGGACAAAACCAGCTGAAAACCGCAGCTCAAAGGCCGCGAATTCCAAAGACTCGCTGAGGAAGACCACCTTCGCCATCACCCCGGCGAAGATCGGGCTGCCCTACAACCACTCGGGCATGTCCCACTTCATTCAGGCCGTTGGGTTGTTTGGGAGCAACCCAGGGTGGAAATGGGTGGGTGCTTCGGGCGGGGGGGGTGGGTGGGTGGGTGGGTAGGTTTTAGAGAGCCACTTTCTGTGGCACCAAGGGACCTCCCCTGCGAAAAGTCTCAAGATAGTTTGGTATCACAGAAAGTTAGGGTGATTCTTCAAGACCAGTTTGCAATACCCAGTGGATTCAGGTACACTTGTAGGCAACCAGGCAGCCAGGATTTGTGCCTCTATAGGTTTTACATGATGGTTTTGTTTGGTTCCCTCGGGTACATGGAATCACTGAGGCTCTCTGATTTGATTGTGGGGGAACTCCAACTTTGAGAACCTGTTCTTTCGTTTTGGGGTGGATGGTGTTGAAAGGGGGGGCTAAACAAGGAAAACTAAGTGGCAATCAAATAGTTCGACTTTTGGAGGGCTTCGAATGATGCCGTGTCCAAACAACTGGGCAACCCCTGTTGTTGGATGGAGTCTAAACGGGTACTCGAAACACCCAAAGTTGATGTTGGGGCGTTTCAGCCACTGAAGGTGATTTGGGTTGGGTGGCCTCTTGTTCCTTCCAACCGACCTGGTAGATGAAAAATAGCACATCAACCAGCAGCTGTTCTTTGCTATACCCTGAGGCGAGTTCGGGGTAAGGATCCTTGCTTGCTATTGGCTTGGATATTTGGACTTTGACTTTTGGGCTGAAATCAAGGGGGTTTCCGAACTAAACCCACAAAAAGTTAACAGCATTTTTTGCAGCGGGGTCGACTTGCAGCAACCCAGCAGCAGACTTTGGCGCCAGGTGATGCCGCTGCACATCGTGAAGTGGATGTTCTTCTCAGGGGAGCCGATCACCGCAGAGCAGGCGAGAGATGGGGCGAGTGGGGGGCCTCGAGTTCGGCGTGGAAGTTCGGTCCGGGTGGGGGTTGGACTTCTTGGTTCAAAGGCACGGCGCGCCTCTGGTTTTGGTTGAAAGGGAGACTGAAAGGAAAAAAGGCGGTTGAAAGGAAAAAAGGCGCTTGAACCATTTTTTGGGGGTCCCTGATTCATTTCAAGACGGGGTCCGAATCCAGGAAAAGAATGGCATGCCCAAGTATTCATGGATTTTATGGTCCAGTTCGGCAGGCCTTGGGCTCGAGCTCTTGTCATCTTAAAATCCGAGGACTCGCTGATTCTCCCGTGGCCCCCAACGTACACCGCACAAAGGTTCAAGAGCGGAATTTTTGGTGTCAAACGTAAACCGCAGGTTCCAGTGGAGCCCTTCGAGTGGGGGAGGGTGGGGGGGGGGGTCTTGTTGCTTCTGAGGCTTGGGGTTCGTCTATCGATTTGGGTAATACAGACCCATTTGGACGCGGATTTCCAAGAAAGCGGAATTCGGTGTAGCTTGAGAAAGACAAACATGGAACGCCCTCCAGTGGTCGAGGCCCTTGGATGGACCACCATGTAGAAATGTTCCCTTTGCACTAAGCTCCAAAAGGCTTGTCCAGTATTTGCTACCGTTTTGTTAAACAAAATCCACATCGGAGGCTCCCTGGATGGTGCTGTAAGGACTTACACAAAACGCAAGGTACCCGGCCGCGACCCGGCCAGGTGTTTTTTTGTTGATCACATGTTTGGAAGCAAGAGGAAAGTCCTGGCAAAGAACACTCTCAGCTGGATCCTTTTTTTTGTGTCTAGCAATCACCCCCCCCCCCCCCCAAAAAAAAAACACCAGGGCCAGGGAGGTGTTTGTTCGCGCGAGTCTTTTGGGGAAAACGGGCTCTCCGGTTTCGTTTCAGCTCCGGCACCGCGAGGGGGGGGTTTTAGAGGCCAGTCGGCAAAGCGTTTTCCTGTGATAAAGGCCTCTGGCTGGAGCCTGGCCAGGAGAAGCTAATCCTCCATTTGCTGAAGAATATGTTTGATGTTCTCTTGTTGGTATTTAAAATAAATTCATCACTGCTGGAAATGTTTATTTTTGCCTGGGGACTTAACCCCACCAAATGGAAGTAATAAGGCATGGAACCCCAAAACCACTTGATTTGGAGGAAGCTCCTTTTGGGAGACACTGTTTTTTGGATTCCATGTAAACAATGTAGGTCTGTGATTTGGGGGGTCCACTACAAAAACCCATTTGGGCGTGAGGAACCCCGTAAGCTCGTCGATTTACAGTGCGATCTGTCGGTTGCGGCTTGCTCTTGCGGCTGAGCTCTTGAATCCACCCTATGTTCCCTTCCGCCAAACACAGCTGGCGGTTTGTGACTGGACTGTGGATCTTGTTTCAGCTTCAAGTCTCTTTGCCATTTGACTGGAGGGCGCTGCTCTTGCGACTCCACTCCGAACGTAATGAACTATGAACATGCCTACCTGGGGCCTTGGACGACTGTTTCAAAGCAGGTGCGGGCCGAAAAAGCACTTCTGAGGCAAACGACTGGAACCGGTTCGAAATCCCTAACCTACGGGGCCTTGACTTTGCCAGGCCTGTCTACTTTCCATTTTTCCCAGTTGGCTAAACCAGAAATGGCTGTGAGCATTCATGTGCACAATCTAGAGTCGAGAAGCCACTGCTAAGTACAGTTATGACACTTCAGATCAGAGCATAATGAGTGTAGCTGCATGCATGTGTTCTTCACAGCCTTTGCCCAGTGCGCCTGGCTTGTTTCACAGACCTCTCCCTTTTCCCATATGGAATCAAGCAGCAAACCAAGAAACGACGCAGAGGCACATTTCTGTCCACTCATGGTGTTAGCCTTGGTTTAGAACCTTCCTCATCATAAGAAAGGGCACCCTAACAAAAGGCTTGCTTTTGGGTGGCCGGACTCCTCGGTTTTTTTTTTTTGGGGGGGGGGACATTGGACTTTCGGGGGGCGGTTTTTCGGCTCGTTTTCGGCCCGTGTTCTTCCGTTTTCGGCTCGTTTCGACCCGTAAACCCGTTTTCGGGCCGAAACTGGCAATGGACAAAACCATGTAAACATCCAGAACCAGGCGTGCAACAACCAGAACCGTGTGTGCAACAACCAGAACCGTCCGTGCAAACGATTGTTTCTGAATTGATGGGTCTTCGGTTGCTTTTGGATGGGGCCATTGGGGCGACCACTCCTTTTTACCAGCAGAAGCCTCCTTTGTAAAGATTGGAAAGGGTTGTTTGGGAAACCACCTGAAAGATACCCATTGGGTGCGTGAGGGAAGAGTGATTTGACACACTGCCAAAGCCGCTCAACTATATTCTCGCCAGGGCTGTGGGGTGAAAAGCAATGTCCGTCGACCCCACATGCTGCTGATGCTGGCGGTACACCTATGTGGCTCTGCCCGCGGAACCGAAGGGTATTGAAAGTGTGCAACTCGCACAGCCTCCTTCTCCATGCCTTTCCCTTTTGCAAGAAGCTAGAAGAGAAAACAAAGGGATCAGTGCATTTCAGACTGCTGCGGCACGCTTGAGGCCTGACGGGTTGGCCGGGCAGGGTTGGTGCCAGTCTTGCAGAGGCGCAAGTCAATCGACTACACAAAATACAGAAAATGGTGATCAGGCCAAACGGCCGGAACTGCAGCAAATGACCGGAACTGATGATGGATGTTCTTACGACTGTTTAAATAACGGATGTTTCGGGCTCCAGGTAGGTAACAACTTTTTTTGGGGAGGGTTCCTCTACTAGAATAGACCACAGAAAAAAACGGGTACCCTAACCTCTAACCTCTCTGCTGGAGGACCTGGATGCTGTTGACAAAGCCCGGCCTGGGCATGCTTTGTGAACCGAAGCCCTTTGATTGGCTGTGAAGTGAGACCAAAAGAATCCGTGCTCCATATTGGGCCCCATTCCCACAAACCCAAATCCTGTAAACCTCCGAACTCTGGTCAGAGAACCCCCTTAAGTGATACCCTCCCTACCACTAACATGGCACCTGTGATCAACTTCCTCTTGAAGGGACCAGGTCCCTGTCAGGTGCCATGGCAACGTGGGAGAGAGGGTATCACTCCTGAAAATCGTGCGGTCCGGACAACTCCAAAGTTCGCAACAATTTGGGTCTCTTTTTTTGGAGTTGGTGCCCCTCAAAAGGACAGCCAAAGGGAAATCCCACAATTTCCAGGGGCTCCAACCTAACATATCTGGTTTCCCCACCCCAAAAATTGGACTCCCCTCCCCCCAGCCCCCCTTTCGATCCTCGCATCGCCGGCTCGATTCCTCGTCCTTGGAGTGGGACTCCAGGCGCTGCAGATGGGCTTCGTGAACTTTGTGGTTCCAGTGGAGCGCCTCGAGGACGGACGAGTCAAGCTGCCGTCGTGCCACGTCCAACGTGCACCGTGCCGTGAAAAAGCGCGGGCGGTGAGGCGAACACCGCGGTTTGGTGCCCCCTGCGTTTCTTTTTTTTCTCCCTAAGCGGTCATGCCCCGTGATGTGGTTTGCCTAGAACGGGGCTCCTGCCAAAAAGAAACAGTTGGCAAAAAATGTTCGGGGATCCTAAGATGGGTGCAAAACCCTCGTTTCCCTCAACGAAGCAAACCGGGGAGGCCGTTCCAATCTAAGAGGGAAGCCCGAGCCATTGAAGCCTACGGAAGGGCTTTGGAAAGCTTGAAAAAGGCTGGCAGTCCACTTCCATTGGTGGATAAAGACGACATATGGGTGTGTCTTTTTTTTGGGTACCCCGTTTAGATTGACTTTAAACGGAAACCCAAAGGAAAAGTAACCGTTTTAAGAATCCCCTTATTTTAAGACACACCAATTTTGGGAAGCTTTGCACATCAATTCTCTGGCCAACGAGTGAGGTGTCCTTTTTTGTGTGATTGTCTTCCATTTTGGGACATCAACTCTCTGGCCAACAAGTGAGGTGTTGTTCTTTCTTGGGTGTGTGGCTAGGAATCCTAGGGGTCACTTTCAAGTGTATACGGATACAGTCTACCGATTTCATATACAGCATGTGATTCCCTTGGTCTTTTTGTCGCACTCCCCGAAAACTCCCAGCTCGAAGTTTCCACCTCGGGATTCCGCGCCAGGAGCGCACGGCGGAGATGGCGAACACCATCGCGTCGCGCGCGCCGCTGGTGGTGCACCTCCTGAAGCGGCAGCTGCTGTGCATGAGCCCCGTGCCCTCCTTGACTCCAGAGGTCTTTGAGGACGGGGTGGCGGTCGAGGGAGGGGCGAGCGAGAGATTTGGGGGGGGGGTGAACGAATTTTGTTCGGGGCTTATGGTTGCAGCCCTGGGGGGGGGTGGGGTTTGGGTTTGGGGGGCATGAGTTGAGTCGCGACGTTGGCTGGGTTTCAAAAGTTGCGATTTGCATCTTGGGCAGACAGAAGCCTTGTCTACCCAAGGCTCACCAGTTCCATGTGGAATGCCTTCAACCCACTTTGAGGCCTGGAACGCCCGCCGGGGTGAAGTCCCAGTGCGGTGCAGGAGTTGCACGAGAAGCGCAAGAAGACCTGGTGCAGTTACGACATGGAGGAGTCGGGTCGGGTCCAAAGAGGGGCGCTTCTGACCGGATGGGACCAAACCAGAACCCATGGGGCACAAAAATCCCGGGGAGATGGCATCAAGCCTCGCACCTCGTCGTGTTGGCTGAGACAACACCGCTGGACCCCCGAAAAGAGCCGCCTAGAAGAGCTGCAGTTTGAAAGCTTTGTGGTTGAGCCAATTCGCCTTGCTTGTTTGGGGGTCAATATATGGAGTCATCACCACCAAAACAGGGGCTTTCAGCGAAGACCGCTATGACACCATGAACCATGGCCCACAAATCTGGGCAATAAAAAATACGTAGTCTTTACCTTTGGGTTACCAGAAGGGTCCCCTCTGTAATGCCGGTTATGGAAAATGGATTGGCCAACATGAACCATTTTGAACAGCCCAGCCAATGGAAATCGGGGGGTTTTCAGCTTAGCAGATGGAAATGGGTGTGTTCTTTTTTTTGGGGGACCTCCAAAATGGTGTATATTTTTCCTTTTGGTTTCCCTTGTAAGACCACCAAAAAAGATAGGGGATCTAGTTTTCCTTCTGGTTTTTTGTTTATATCCGCCAAATAGCAAGGTACCCTTAACAACCTGCCACGCCCAACTCGGCGCCAGGAGGGCGTGCGGGCCTTCTTCGCCAAGCGGGCGCCAGTCTTCCGGGGCAACTGAGGCGGAGAGCGGTCCGCTTGAGGCCGAAATGGGCGCCTTTTCAACGGGCGGAGAAACCTCGAAGTGGAGGGGACCGGAACAAGTTGGGCTCGGGGAGCTACGTGTGACTCCCCTAATGAGAGGGAGTACAGCTACATAGACATGGAGTTACATCATGGAGCTACTGGGTCTAATGGAAAGGGGAGCTAGAGTCATAACTTAGGCAACTTGGTCCCCGAAGTCGAGTTGTAAGTAGGTGTCCCGCTGCAAGGAACTTGAAACTGCAGGTTCCCCTTTCTCCACTGCGGGACATCCCAGGATTCCATAAAGAGTGATTCTTGATCTGGCGACCTGTGCAGAGAAGCACTGTGCTCAGTGCGTCGTTTTGGGTATCTTGGTATCTTGTATCGGATTTTCAGTGGGTGTGACCCAAACAACTGTAGGCGGCGCCCCTGAGATGGTTTCAATGCGGGCCACTGGGAAAGCAAACAGTTCTTGGAGTGCCCTCTTGGAGACACCCATTTCTTTCCCGGCGCTCTTGGCACCTCCGGTACCATGTCGACCTCGCCAGAACTGGCCAGAGATGGTTTGAAACAGCCGACCCCGGAGCTTGCCTGCGCAAGCTGTTTCCGACGCGGCGTCTCGTGTACAGCACAAAAGGAAGGGACCACGGGCACGGCGACGGGTGTGTGTCACAGGCGACGGATCCCGCAAAATGTCAGGGGATAAATATTCGATTAGTGCTATCCTGCAGATTGACATGGTTTTGCTTATCGGATTCTTGGCCTAGGTCCCATCAAATCCCGACCTTTAATGATTCGACCATTAAAGATTGGGGTTCAGGACGCTGAACCTTTAGAGCCTGAACACCCACGTAAGGAAGTCTACGGAGTCACGACCATCCGCAATGTAATATAGTATAATATATCATATATTATACTATATAGTCTAACATCATATAAAATGAATATATATACCTCATATATATATGTATAGACACACATTTGTGGGGTTCCAACAACAGGGGAGGGTTATAGAAAACAGAAGCACAAACACCCATGTTGATGGGGCCACCCCAGCTTGAGAGACACCCATAGAGGTGTGTCTCTGTTTAGCCCCCCCCCCCCCAACCAAAAAAAAAACAAACAAAAAGCAACAACCACGTAACAAGGATTGGTGGTTTCCTTTGGTGTCCCTTGGCAAGGTTCCCGCCCAAAAAAAATAAACCACCACCGGGGTGTCGGGCCTAAGACGGGGGATGTGTTCCGAGGCAGAGCCCATGGAGTGCTTGGACCAGATGGCTGTGACCACTGAGGCGTCGATGTACTGGATGCCCAAGCCGTTTGGGGGGTGGGGGGGAGGGGGGACGGGGGAGGGTAGGGAAACCCAGTGAAGCAGACCGGACATGTGGCAGTTTGTTCTTAAGTTTCCCTTTTTTTGGCCCCATGCTTGGCTTCCTCGCGGCTCTTGGAAGGAAGCCAACTGAAGCAGGCTGAAGCCAATCGCTTTGGGGTTACCAAGCCAAAGGAAGCGAACCATGGACACAAGGGACAAAAGGAAGCGGAGACCACATGACGCAGACTGAAGCCAATGGCTTTGGGGGTTGGGATGCGCCCAAAAAGGCAAGCATTCCGGCATTCCATTTCGGAAATTGACAGGGACAAAGGGAAAAGGGGGGGTCCATGAAAATCTGAGGTCGGCACTGAACTCGGGAAATGTCTCGACAAAGTACAGGCTACCTGTTGGCGGCGTGTTTTGAAGATCACCACTTTTCGGGATTGCGGAATGACTGAGCCGCCCCCCCGGGGTTTTCAGCGGTCCCCAGCTCCCACGTCTCATTTCGTCGGCTTAGATAGAGATAGATCATTCAGCGCGTCGCCAAGTTTGAGGGGATGTCATTGGTGGTTACACAGGGGCAGGATATATATATATATTCAGTGGCGCTCGCAGCGATGGATCGTGTCATTGGGCTTGCAGCCGTGCGTCGATTTCTTTGAGCTTTCACCCTAAAGAAGAAGTGGGTGGTTTATTCCCACAAAGGACTTACCTCTTAAAAAACACAACTTTTCAACTTTTTAGGTAACATGGGCTATATATGTCTGTAACAGATTAACTTCCCCAGGGCTTGGAGTTTTAAGGGGTAAGAGGATGGTCATCCGGCCGTGGAACGGCCCTGATCATGATCCAGTCTCAGAGGTTCCTTCTGGGCGGGTTCGTCTTTCAGCACTTCTTCACCTCGAAAACGACACACTGTCCCCCCAAAAAACAACATTTTTTGAGGGAGCCCCGCAAAACCACGAAAGAGAGGGGGAGTCGGAAAGGGAGGCCCTGCGGACCAGGCAGCCTTTTGCTCTTCAAAACCTTCAGCCTGACCTTCTGAAAAAATATGCTTTTCCCTGCGATCCAGAAGTTCAGAGTATTTTTGTTGGTTGGATCTTTTGATCAACAAGGAATATTCCCTATCCCGATATTTTCCATTTTTTATTTTTTTTTGGGGGGGCGTTTGACCGACCCCACTCTTCGCGCGCCACGCCGCGCACCCCCCCCCCTTCACCGGAGGCGCTGCTCCAGCGGGTGCCGGCGAGTTTCCGTGCGCCCGGGCGCACAAGAGGCGGTGCCCCTCTTCTCGGGTTGGTTTCAACGTGGCTGTTGGGAGACATTTTTGGGAACGGGTTTGGTTGGGGTTTCTCAACCGCCCAAATGTTCAGGGACGCAGAGAAAGCATGGTTGTTGTTGGGAGACATGTTGGGAAGTTTTTGCTTGTTGCGGTTTAGTGGTTGAAATCCAACCACTGAACTGCTAGAATTTGAACTTTTGCTCCCCTTCCAACGTCAACCAAGTCAAGGGGAACCAACAGAAAAGCCGAAACCATTTTGAGGGCTGAGCTGTCCATGCCGAGGATCACACGCGACACAAGCGAAAAGCAGATGGTGTGCTTTCCTGGCAGGATGTTCCTGACTGTTTTCCAAGCTGTCTTCCTCAATCACATGGCAGCCATTTGAACTGTTTTTGCGGAGGGTGTGATTGCAAAAGCACTTGCTGTAAGTTGTGATATGGGTTGGAAGCAGGTGAATAGAAGGCAGGTTAAATTTCATTTCACAGCATGAGTCTAAGTGGGAAAGGAGACCCAGTTTCTGATTCCCGGGCACTCCCTGGCGACAATCATAAGGATGGGACTCCCCACAGCAGTATCGCGGGAACTTGTCTATCATGACCTGAAGCGCCATTTTCTTGGCTTCTTGTTTATGAGTGAAACTCACGTCAACTTTATTTAGAGAAGCTCCAAGAGGGCTCCGACTGGTTTTGACACTGTCCCCCCGTTGCCCCTGTGACGGCACTTCGTCCCACTTGAAGGCTAGCAAAGCCATTGCCACCGGTCAAACTCTGCACATGTTCCCAATGAGGCGGAAACCGTGGTTTGGAAAAGCACCGCGGGAAAGCCACAACTTTGAACAAACGTGGTTTTGAATAGCAGGTGGCTTGAACATTATTCAAGAGCTGATCCACCATCAACACCGCAGACGAAGGTCAGTAGGAGGACCCCCCAACAAAAATTAACAACACAAAAACATGCGGCAAGAAGCACTGCTCAGTCTGTCCCCTGGGTTTGTGAGCATGTTTATGAAAAAAATATACCCATGGATATGGGTAGCCTGAATTTCTTCGATTATGATGCCGATGCCTTGCCCAGGCGATGCCTGGTGAGCCTCGAAAGGGAAGATGGCAATGAAGGCGGGGCGGGGGGTTGTGGGAGGCGACTCGGTCGGGGGCGAAATGATTGCTAAGTTGTTGCTAATCTTAATTTTGGCTTTATCTGGAGGCATCCGGAGGTCCATACTAAGTGGTGGTTCCGAACCCATGTAGTAAGAGAAGGATCCAGTTTATCTGCCGACTGGGGTCCTGCGGGTTATTCCCAAGCAAAAAATACTCTGGTCATGACCGAATTTGTTTTTTGGGCCAAGCCGCCCCCCGAATTCTTTTCCATGTGTGGCTGCCTGCCTGCTTTTTCGGCAGGCGAGGCCGGTGATCCAGATGCTGCATTGGCCGACATGCCCGATGAAGAGCTCGAAGAGGAACTGACGGAGCCTCAGAGTCCGACTGGCTGTGTTGGGACAGGTGGGGTGGGGGCTGGGGGCTGGCGGCTGGGGGCGCAAAGGACATACCCTCCCGTCCACGTGGCCATGGAACAAGGATCCTTGGACGGAGAAAATCCTGCCCCAATTGGTAGATGCTGAAGTAAAAAAGACAAGACCATGGATTTCCCTTCTTCTGCGATACTGTGAATGGGTAGAACCCCTTCATCCATCCAACTGGTTGCGAGTTTTGAATTTGTTCCACAGGGTGGCTAGGGGGCAACGCCGCGGGTTTCGCCGGAAGGGCTCCATTGAACCGGGGGATGTCCGGCCGGCTCTTTGTGGGTTCCGTAGTCAGAACCAAAAAACACCATTCCCGGTGTATCAGGACACAGCATGATGCGCTGGCAAAGTTCGTTGAAGCCCGGGAGAGCGCAATGTCCAAGAGCTGCTTAGATCCTGGGCCCCCAGAACTGGGCGCAGAAACAAAAAGATCAGAGCCCAAGCTGGGCGCAGAAGGGATCGGAGCCCAAGCTGGGGTCCAGATGCTCAACCAGTTTCTGTGGTTGAAGTGCCTTCGCCTCGCCGCGTCGAGACAGTCGCTTTCTTTCGAGGCTGCGCCTGGCGCGGCGCAGCGCGGAGCTGGCGGAGTCCGCCAAGGGCGTGGGCGCCGCCGCGCTGGCGCGGGGGCCCGGGCCCGGGCCCGGCCCGGCCGGCTGGGTGTCGGGGCATCGGCCGGGTGCGGGGGGTGTTTGGTTGCCCACCAAGGAACAGCCGGAACTTGCCGTTCGGGACCGGGGTGTCTTCAATAGGAAAAGGGTCCAAACTGGGACCCCCCCCCCAAAACGTCAGGTTCCGCGTTAATTGGTGGGAGGGTACGCATCGCCGAATGCGTTGCTTCGTGGGGTTATAAACCTCACTGAATTGGTTTACTGGCTTTAAAACCCAACTTGTAAGCCAAAGGCAGCCAAGTACCCCGCGGTCCATATAGCAGTGTCCCTTCAAGGATACTTTTAGGGGGCAGTAGCAGAAAACGTAAAATTGCGGATTTTTGGATGTATCCTTTAAGGAACCTTGTTTGGGAATGTATCAAAATTGAGGGAACCTCGATCCACAAATGGGTGGGTTTTTCTGTTGGTTTCCCATTAAACCAAGGCGAAGGGGGCATCCTTCGAAAACTACACCATTGTCGATTGCCTCCTGCTGTCGACTTCAATTCCCAGCGGTTGGTTGGCCCCAAGAAAGGAACACCCTGGCAGTGTTGATTGCGAAAAGACAGCCAAATCTTCTTTTTTGCACTTACCTCGCTTCCCGCTAATTGGTGGTTTGGTGGTTGGGGGGTTTCCCATTTGCCCTCTACAAAAAAGCCAAGGGCAATTCAAGGGCACAAGACTTTCTTCCCATCAATCATCTTATTCATTTGCGTGTTGTTTTTCGTTGACACATACCCCAAAATTCCCTTCTAGGGCGGTTCCAAAGAAAACCCGAGCCAGTTTCGGCCGTCCGGGGAGGCGAAATTGAGACCATTTTGAAAGGGTTGTCTCCTTGTGGACCCCCGAATGGGTGGTTTCTCCTGGAAAACCCACCCCCAACTTAAAAGCACAAAAGCTGGGCTCCCTTTGCTTTACTGGGGATTGTCTCTTTTGCGACGTCCTCCCAGCGATCAATTCCTTTTGTTTTTCCTTTAAGCCCAAACTCCCCGGCACCAACCCCCCCCCCCATGCCACCCACCGCCCCTCGGATCGCTCAGATCCATCGCAGGTGCGGCGCCTGCGGGGCTGCCGGGCCCAGCTGGACCTTGGCAGCGCCTGGCTGGGGGAGCTGCAGCGGGTGGCCGCCTGCGCCAGGCGAAGCTTGGCGGGTGGCCAGGTCCAGCAATTGGTGCCCGACCTCTCACCCAACCTTTTTTTGGTTCGGAGGGTTCGGGACCCTACGAAAATTCCTTCCAGAGGAACAAAAATCGGGTACCAACTTATTCTATCCTCTCTACTGGAGGACATAGGCGGAGTGGGTGGAAGCGGAGGGACTTGGGTGCGTTGGGGTGGATTGGAAACTGCTAGAGGTTTGGGTGGGGCATGGTTGGTGGAACTATTTCGGGCAGCTAATGTTCCTGGAAGTCGGGAAATACGCTGGAGGTGAAGATGGAACCCAAGAAACCGGGGATGTTAGATGAATCTCCTATTTGCAGGGGAGTAGCAAGATAGACCCCAACTGTTCGCCCTGCGGGGATGCAGTGCGATGCGGAGGACTTTCATGGTTGGGACAGACGACTGGATGGTGCCAAAAAAAAGTCCGAAGAATACTAGTAAAAACAAACAAAAAGCGGCGGACATATATATATATATATATATATATATATATATATACACACACCATTTGGGTGAGGTGCCACGCGTCAAAATAAGGAGGGGGGATTTGATTCAAGTTGTGATGTCCACGGAAATGGCGGTCGAGTTGTCACCTTGATGTTCGCAGGGTGCCTTCGACTTGCCGAAGGCTTTGCAACTTGCACTCAGCCCCGAAAAGAAAAAGAACACAAGAGAAATTTGAAAGCAGATCGGCTCTACGCCCAGGAGGAACGAGGGGTTTGGCTTTTGATCCTGCAAATATAAGGACCATAGGTGTCCTTTTTAGTTGGTTTGGGCCCTGGTTTAGATGGGGTTTACCAGGGCCATCTATTTTTCCAAAAGGCCACCTAAGATAAGGACTCCCCTCAGAAACCGGCCGAGCCCAGCGCGACCCGCTAGAGGCTCGGTGGACTTAAAGCTAGGGAAAGGGACGGGTCCCCTCGATTCATCGGTTGGAACTTCCATCTTTGGTCGCCAGCGCCATGGAAAAAGAACACGTGGAAGCACAACCAACACCAGCACAAAGCACCGAAAGACACCTGAACATGAAACATAAGCACGACTCTTTGCGGGTTGAGAAGCTTGCGCGGCAGGCAAGTCCAGGAATCTGAACACAGCTCCAGTGCTGGGCTCAGCGTTAGACGAGTTCGAGGTATCTCTGAGGGAACCGCATGCGTGGATACGCGTTCTATATTGAATTCCCGTTGCATGTTTTTTCTCTTTCTTTTTTTGGGGGGGGGGGTTCTCAGTAAAAGCGCCGTTTGGCTGGGGTACATGCGAGGATGCCATGGACCCATTTGAGTATTTTTCTTAGAATGCGTGGCTCCTTGCCGGGCGGCTGGGTGTTGTTCCCCTTTCCCAGACACAGATTAGTTGTTCAACTTGTTCGCTTTTGGCGAGGGCGAAGAAACCCTTTCACATCAACCAAACAGGGTGCCACGACCAAAAGGGGTTTGGATCTTCGATCTCCAGGATTCGAGAAGGACCTTCATATTGCATTCGTTGTCATGTCCAAAGCATGTATATTTTGGCTAAACAACGTATGAGCTTGCCAAATTGTTCACCCCTCATGCTGTTCAGCTGAATTCCGAAGTGGATTGAGGAATTCTCACGTTCTCTCCTGACCCCCCCAACAACTTGCAGGGTGAAAGTAGATGGCACACTTCTCCCCACTTTGGTTTAGCCATGCCCTAAGGGGAATTGGCCACAGGCGTTCGCCAATTGTTTGTCCATTTGTCCGGCTCCATTGCAGAGATTTGAGCCCGGCAAAACTGCACAGCCGAGGACGTTGGTAGTGTTGTGTTCATATATCCATTGCTTATGGTCATGAACCCCTTGGATATAATAGACAACCATAACCTGGATTCTTCTGCCATGACCACATGTGACCATGGCGGACAAGTGAATTCAGCCTTACTAGCGGAGTCCTAGTTAGGGAGACCAAAGACACTGCTGCACAGGAGGAGCTTTTGACCCCTCACCCTATTGAAGGATCCATTTGGGTCTCGAAGCTCAGGCAATTCGGCAGACTCGCCTGTGGCTGGCTCAGCCGGCTTACCGAAAAAGCTGTCTCGGCCATGGAGAGCTGAAAATGCTCGTGGGTGGACCAGATTCTGATGTGCAGAGCGCACTGAAATTAATGTCACAAGAAGTAGAATGCGGTTGTGGGGTACTTGAAAAAAAAGGCTGTGATTCTAATGAGCCAACTATTGGTAATTCTGCTGCCCCTGAAGCTACCCGGCTGGAAGTGGACAAAGGGACTTTCCAAGAGGATGGTAGTCTTCCAAACCCTTCGGTCAGCTTTCGTTCATTTTGAGGATGCCCGTTTTCGTGGTTTTACAGGAAAACCAAAAGGAACCTACCGCCACCATTTTGGGTTTCCCCTCCAGAAATGGTACTGTACACAGAGAGTTCGGCGGCCTTGCCGCGATGTCCGCAGTTTGCTCTGAGGAAATGAACATATAAGAGAGCTACTCTGTGTAAGAGTGATTGCCATGGACCCTTAATGGGGAGAAACGTTTGGCGGAGATACCCTCCCACCTGGGGGGGCCCTGGAAGAAAATGTTCCTTTTCAAGCGACCCCACTGTGAGGTTCTATGTTACTTGGTGGGAGGATAAATCCCCTTGTACTTGATGGTCCTCAAAGGGTCCGGGTCCCCATGGCTCTTATTCCAGATGACTGAGCTCTAGCCCGAACCATCAAGCAAATAGGGTCCGCAATGAAGATTCACACCCACATCGATCTGTGCCTGGACTCGCCGGTGGGGGCGTTTCTTCAAACAGGGGATACCCCAAAAAGATTAGCTCTCATGTTGTTCTCCCTTTCGAAACCAACCGAAAGGGGAACCCCCCCGAACAGAAGCCCATGTTACCAACAAAAAGGCGAGTTTTCCCCTTCGTTTCCTTTTGCTCTCCCTTTCAAAACCGAAAGATTGGGTCTTCAGTTTCCCTTGGAATTTCCCTTGGATTTCCTCGGATTTTCCTTGGAACTTCCCTTTGGAGTTTCCTTTGGGTCTTTCGTTGACCACCCAAACCCTTTCGGAGCACCTCCCGAGGCCTCCGAAGCCCTCAACACGCCCGGGGCGAAGCGCCAGGGGGGTCTGTAGGGTTTGCGGGGGGAGGGAGGGGGAGGGGAGGGGGAGCCCAAAACGGCCCTAGGAGTTTTCTTACGCTCTGGCCCTTTAGGCCTTATGTGGGCTCCCTCTCCCTCCCTCCCAGGCACCATGAGAGTAGCATGGGCATGTGCTGTGTAGCAAGCTCCAGTTCCCTCATTTCAATGGAATAATGAGGTCCTGTGGGCACAAAGCAATCGGAGCGCTGGTTGCCTTTCGAGCGCCTCCGAGCGGTCTGGTGAATCGGAACCGATCGGAACCCTCAAAATGGGCTTTCAAGTTCCCTGAAACCCTCCCCCCCCACCCGGCAAGATCACAGGGGCGCATTTTTCGGTTTTCCCGGGTGGGCTGCCTCCAAAACCAACCCCGAAAAATTTGGGTACCGAGCCTCAACCAAGGCAATGTCTTTGAGGATTCGGTCCACAAAATGAGTGAGTGTCCTTTTGGCTTTCCGTGGAAAAAACCAACCAACCACGGGGATTCCCCAAACACCCAAACAAGACGCTCCTGTACTACTCGGTGGATCATCTCCTCTGCGCTGCGCCAAGAACGGTTCGAAAGGATCCCTCGTACCCCGGTCTAAACGTCATTTGGCCCTAAGGGATGAAGTACCAATCACAGCCGGCGCCGATCATCTCCGCACATTTCGTCCATCCACAGTGACATAGGTTTGCTCCCTTCACCTTCCTGGCGAGCCTTTCCTTCACTGTTCGAACTGCATGTTGTTGTTTTGTTCCGTTCAATTGGGGGCCGGTAAAAAACGAGCACCTGGAGTTTCCATGTCCCTTTAAAAATGGGGTGATTACCCCAAATAATGGGGTCATGAGCCCATGTTTAAAGGGTCATGGAGACTCCAGGCAGTTTTGTACCAACGAATTGGGACGTCTGGTTTTCTCAAAGCTCCCTCTTGCGCTCCCCAAAGTTGCGGTGATGCCACAGTCGCTGGCTTCCTGGCCCCGCAGCCCTCGCCAACCGCTCCAAGGTCCCCTCGAGTTGGCCGGGCGCCGGAGGCGTCGGATTCAACACCCCTGCCTCCCGGTTTCTCCAAAATACTTGGGAGGTGAAATCATTTTTTCCCAAAATACTTTGGGAGGTGAAATCTTTATTTAATTTCTTCTGGTAGCTGAGTGGAGCCCCTTCAAAAGGTTGCCCAAGGCAGCACCAAGGTGCAAAAAGGGGTACCGTGGCTTTCAAGAATGTCATGGCTTCTGTGTTTGTTTAAACCGTAACTGCCTCGTTTGGGCCGGGTTTACCTAGGGAAATCATCCACTCGGGGGGTCCCTCGAGAAGATAAGGCCGCATGACTCCGGACGAAATTGTATTGAGCTCACCGGAGATACGAGCTCGGGCCTTAGGAAGGTTACTTACCCGCCTACAAGTTAATATGGACCCCTAAGGGGGTTCGATTCCCACAAGGAGTTTCCTCTAGACATGACGGCTTTTTGGGAACCCATGTGAATCACCCATGTTAATCTGTGACAGCACTTACACATCTTTACACAGGCTTCCTGTCTAACCGTTACAAGGGTTCCTCAGCAAATCGCGACTGCAGCCTGACCATTAGAAGGTTCTCCTTATCACGACAACAGGACCCACATTGAGGCAAAAACGGAAATAGGGAGATCCAAGGACTCCCAAAGAAATCCCCAGAAATCCCAAAGAATCCCAAAGAATCCCCAGAAATCCGCAGTCCAATCACTTGTTCCCCCCCCGCCCCACCCCCCACCCTCCAAAAAAAGAAAAATGTGACTTCCAGCCACGGCCAGGCCTCCCGTGTTCTTTCCAGCCGCTCTCACTCGCAGTCACCTTCCAAGGCCGCGCCAAGTCGGGGGATCCAACGGCTTGCCCCGAAACCCGCGAGAGGTTCCGAACGAGACACTCGAATCTGCCAAGAGGCCACGTGTCTGATCTGATAAAGACTTCGGTTCGAGTCTTTGCGAGCGGTTTTAGGTGTGTGAGTGTGTGGGCATGTGTCATTGAATGCAGGGAATTCCCACAACTAGGTCCCCCAGCAGCTTATTTTTTGGGGGATGGTTCCCCTACTAAAAAAGACTACAGAAAAAAAGGGGTACCCTTATTCTAACCTCTCTACTGGAGGACCTAGATTATGATAGTGCTGTCCTTTTTGAGTTTCCCCCTGAAGCACCGCACGTCCATGGCCCAAGCGGGTACTCGCTGGATAGGACCGGGCGTTTTTGGGTCGGCGAACTTTGGGGCAAGGCATCTCTGGGCTGTTTTGGGCTAGGAGAAATCACGGTTATGTTGGGCCAGGTTATCTTTGTTTGAGACATTTGAGCCTTTTGTGAAGAAACATGCTATCATGGGTTTGCTTTTGCGCCCGGTCAAAGCGCTGGTGATTTGTGCTTAATAGATATTGATGATAGGCCAGATTCTGATGACCTTTTGTTTCCCCGCTGCGCGCGCGAACGTGTGCCTTATCAGAACTTGCATTCAGCCTTCAAATCTTTGGTGATTTGGGCATGACTTTTTACTGAAAGACCCTGTGGTGGACATCTTTTCCGTGGGGATTTATGTCCACCGACCACTTTGAGGGTTTCCCCATGAGAATTTGTGGCAATGCGCGCAGGTTCCCATGGCGGAAAACATCGGTTTCACTCATCTTTCGGGTCCAAACTTGGGATGACCATTGCTTTGGTGCATTTTGCTTGGATGCTAGGACTTTAACTTTTTGCCAACTAATGGGTTTTCATGAAACCACTAAAAGTTGCACTTTTAGCAGGGGAGCAGAAAGCAACAAAGTTTGGTTGGCAAACCAGTAAGATTTGATATTTGAAGCATGGAAAAGTCAGCCTTGGTCACCCTAAATGGAATATTGATCAACCCCCAATCCTCTTGCTGCTGCTCAGCAGGGAATGAGGACATGCACCGTTTTGGGATTCCCTGAGGAAACCAAATCGGTGGGAGGGTTCTGCTCGGAGCTCACGAGCCAAGCCTCTCACGGCGAATCATTCCCGATCGCCTCTCGTTCCCGCCCAGTGCTCTAGAACCGCCCCGGGCTCTCCAGCCCATAGGTGTCCCTTTTGTTCAGTTTAGTCGAGAAATCAAGGGTATGGGTCAAAATTAAACCATGAACTTGCAGGTTTTAGTGCAGGCTCCCACTTACCAGGGTTCCAATTTGGGTACCTGTTATTGACCCGCAGCCATCTGGGGCCATCACGTTTTTTCTTCCCCCAAAGGACGCCTCTGCTCGCTTCTCCCCTCGGCGTTTTGACCGACGCGAGGCCAGGGAGTCCTCCAGATCTCCCAAAGGCGCTGAGGGCGCGAGCCTTTCTTGGGATTGGCGGTGAATCAACCCTTTGTAGGTCGGCAGTTGGACGTGCAAGTGCAACAACTGGGTGCTTCCCAGCCGCCGGATCCCTTCGGATGTTTTTTTGGGTGTTTTTGGTTGGGTTGGTGGTTTGGGGTTCTGAATTTAACCCAAGAAGAGCAGTTTGCTCTAGGGGATCTGACTTGAACTTTGGCGAAGATGTGTTTTTTCCACTGATCAACCAAGAGTTCAAACCAGAATTGGTTTGTAAACCAAAAGGGGATTCCTGAAAAAAAAAAAAACAAGCCCATTTGGGTAATTGGACATTCCAGAGACTATGACACGCCTGGTTATTGGCAGGCCAAACTTCCCTGTGGTATGGCCAGAAAATCACCCAGGTCACCAGCCTGTCAAATTTTCGGGGTGGGCATTCGCCAAGTTCCCAATTCGCCATGTGGAGGCAAAAATCTGTGGAAATCGCTCAAAAAGTCATTGGGGACATAAACCCCCACTGAAATGATGTCCAGCAAAGGGTCCCCAATTAAAATTCACAGCCGTGTCAGTTTGGGGTGCACCGATTCGGTGCACTTGAGCTGGGATTCGAATCCGATCTAGCTCAAACATGCCATGCATCAAGACTAACAACACTGTGTGTGTGTGTGTAGTGCAAGTTAAAAGGGGGACCACCCTGAAATCAGATACTATCACGAACTACATTGGAATGGGGCGGTGGCTGACTGTGAAACCACATGAAGTCATTATCACATGAGAACATGTCATGCAGCGGCAAGCCTGCCGTTTGAGTCACATGTTTCAGCCTCAAACGTCACCGCAAGGCAGCGCTGTGCTTTCGCCCTCCTTTGGTGTTGCTTCCGCAGGCGGGAGGCAAGAGGAAGGCCGAAGCAGACAGCTGCAACGTCCCGTTTGAGCTACTGCAAGTCTGACGTCCATTTGCGCTGCATAATACTTTTTTTTTCTCCCTTGTTGGTTTTACAAGGAATTTATCACCACAGGACTTTTTTTTCCAGGGGTCTTAACCAAATGGAAGCTGCAAAACACGTTTGGCCGCCGAAAGCCTAAGAGGGCTTCCCGGTTGCAAAGCTCTGTCTCCTGGGAGAATGGAAGACCTCGGCTTGTGTCCATGGCTTCCATGTTCAATTGGTTGTCCTAGTGGGGCAGGGCTATCCAGAAATGAAGTTCTTGTGGGTCCCCTTTCCCCGGATTGGCCCCACCCGAAAGGTTCTCAAAGGAGTTGCCATGCACGGGTCTCAAAGGACATGTAGCTGGTTGGCCCGTCTTGGGCGCCTAAATTGTCAAGGCTGCCCGTTGTGTTTCTTCTTTTTGAACATGGTAGGGTGATGGCTGTCCTTCTTGTCCCGAAGTGCTGACTGGATGGGGCCTGTAGTTGCAACCAAAGAGTCTCCTTTCTTACATTTGGATGCGCCGATTCGCGCATGACCTGTGTGTGTGTGTTGCAATCTTGTCATGTACGGAGTCATAGCCAGAGGAAAGAAGTGGACGCCACAGAGGCACGGGCACTTGTCGTGTGTGTGTGGGTGTATGGGTGTGTCTGTTTGTGTGAGATTTGTGTGAGATTGCTAGTGTGCCTGCTTGCTTGCTTGCTTGCTTGCTTGCTTGCTGGCTGGCTGGCTGGCTTGCTTGCTTGCTTGCTTGCTGGCTGGCTGGCTGGCTTGCTTGCTTGCTGGCTTGCTTTGCGTTGTGTTGCTTTGCTTTGCTTTGCTTTGCTTTAAGTGTTTTGCTTTGGTTTGAATTGCTTTGCTTTGAGCTTGCTTGCTTGCGTGGGGTTGTTTGTTTGTGTTTGTTTTGCTTCTAAAGGAAAACAACACAATGTTTGCTTAGATATTTGCTTGCTTGCTTGCTTGCTTGCTTGCTTGCTTGCTTGCTTGCTTGCTTGCTTGCGTTTGCTTGTTTGCTTGTTTGTTTGTTTGTTTGTTTGTTTGTTTGTTTGTTTGTTTAAATGTTTGTTTGTGTAAATGTTTGGTTGGTTGTGTGTTTGTCGGGCTTTTTGTTTTTTGTTTACATTCTTTAAACATATATACATATATATTGTTTTTTTTTGCTTTTATTTGCGTGCCTGTTTGCTTGCTTGCTTGTTGGTTCTTCAGTTTTGCCCGTATCTTCGGCTTTGTTTGTCGGCTTGCAGGCTGGTTCGTTCGTTCGAGAGGCGCCTCGCGGCTCCGAGAGGAGGCCCTTAAGCGGCGGGAGGAAGCCGTTTTTTGGGTGGGCTGCAAGTTGCAAGTTGCTTGGGTGCCATGGTTGGTGTTGAGGTTTGTTTTCAGTTGTTTTTTGTGTTTAAAGGGTGGTGTTGAGGTTTTTGTTTTTGGTTGTTGTTTGCGTTTTTTGAGGTGGTTTTGACGAGGTGGGTGTGAAGGTTGGTTTGAGGGCAAAGAAACAGGACGACGCAGCCTTTTTTGGGTGCCCATATTTTCGCACGTACCCAAGGGTGACCGCAAACAATGGCTGACGTTGTGGTTCCCTGCGGTTTCGCTTGAAAGCAACACCAAGAAAGGTGCCCTCAGGGGAAAAAAGCACACACACACACACCAAAAGGAGCAGCCTGAGATTAAGGACTCTTCTGCGGGCAAACCAGCAGGAAACAAACTGTTTCGTTCAGCACGGCAAAAATCGGTCAGTGCAAACACAGGTAAGACATATGCGTCCCTGGGCTAGTCTTACCTGACTATAATGTTGACCCCGCATGAATAAATTGCCCTACTAATAGGGGGTTGGCCCCGAAGGTGGTCTGAATACCCACTTTTGGTGGGGGCACCCCCTCTCAAAATCAGCCAGGGGTTTGTGGGTGTGTCCTTTGTCGGGGCTGCCCTTGGATGGATTTAGGGGGAAAAAAGGAAAACCGAAATCCATGGGGCCCTTTGTGACAAACCGAAATTCCAGGTTCCCAGTTCGCGGTATCTGGGAAGTGTTGGGATCTGGGAGTTTGGGTTTGGAGGGTGAAAAATCCAAAGGTCTCGACCATGAACCTACCTGAACTCTCCAAGTACCAACCTAAGTATGCGATATTGCAACCCAAAATGATTGGGATGATCTCCATGTTTGAAGGATAGTTTGAGGGTCCGGGTAGCTGGACCCTCCCTGTATGTCTCGTCAGACATTCTCCAAACAGATGCTCAAAACTCAGGAAAGGGATGGTTTCTGAACAGAGCCCTGGCACAAGTCAAGCATATGAGGCATAGGTTTCAGGAATCGTCGCTCCAGCCACGAAAGTCGCCAGGGGAAAGGAGAAATAATTACTAGCTGACCCGTGCATGCATGACTCATCTTGGTTTTAAAGTACTCCCAGAACCGAATTCTAAGTCTTCATACTTTAGACCCTTGTACTTGTGGAGGCCACCAAAGGCTGGCGGCGCCTTCCCCTCCTTCCGAACCTCGTTCTTCGCTGATTGGGAGAAATATTTTGTGGCCAGAGGTCCACGGAATCGAAGGGTTAGAGTTGGGAGAGGGGTTGGAGCCCCATGGAACCTGCCTATTTTGTAGCCAGCAGAGTTGGGGGGAAAAACGAGCTAAGCTCCTTTACTTGGGGTCAGCTTTTAGACATGTTGTAACAAAAATCGCAGACACCGGGGCATTTTCTGGCTGGAAGGCTCGGCTTGCGAGGCAAAGGAGCCAGAGCCGCCGGCTGCCCGGAACCCCTTTGGTGTCGAGGCGGCGGCGCGGAACCCCTTCGCCGCACCCTGGCCGCGCTTCGTTTTGATGCCCGAGGGGTTCTGACTGAGCAAACCATGGGTCAGCTTGCAGACAACCAGGAGGCCACGCGCCCTTTTTTTTAAAAGAAGGGTATTTAAGAAATTTAAGAAGGGTATTTGGTTGGGGGACCCTTGGGAGCATCATTTGCTCCGGCGGAGTCAAATGTCCGCCCGGGGAGGGTCAAGGCATGCTATGCTAGCAGTACATGGGTGTGTCTCTGTTTTAGGCTCGGTACCCTGTTGTTGGAACACCAAATGGAAGCCCACCATCTCGGGGTTCCCCTAAAAAGGACACACCAACATGTCAGCAAGTCAACCCCCGCTTCAGGCAGGTCCTAGCTTTGCTTTCCCTCACTACCCGGAGGATATTCCCGACCGCCCAGTGGCATTTCATGTCGTGCGGCCTCGGTGGGTTCACTCCGAAATGGTCCAGCACAAACGTTGTGGCGGGAGCATCTGCAAATTGGCCACCCTAAGGGTCATGACCCCGTCAATGCACACCCCCGGACCCTGCAATAGAGAACCCCGACCCCTCAGGGGTCCTTGAAAACAACCCATTTTGAGACCCCCAAAACAATCGAGACCCGTAGGCCAGCTGTTTTTTGCGGGTTTTTCCTCGGACTCTGTGAGCAGGGCCACCCTGGGTTCATCTTTTTTCCAGTGCTGGGCCGAGTCTTTCACCCGGCACATCTCAAAAGCTGGGGCCCGAAGCCAGATTGGGGATGGACACCAAAGCTGTGGATTGGGTAGTTTCTTACATTTGCTTTGAATTTCCCTTGTTGGTCTATCACTACTGGATATGTTGTCCACACAATCTTGAACACGTGATAGGTTTCATAGCCAGCACGCCAGCAAAAGCACACTGTGCAAACAACACTCGTGTGTCAGATTCCATTACATAGTGTCCATCAACCTAGCCTCACGCTATCATCATGTTGAAAGCCCGATTTGGCGAGGCCTTGCAGGGTATCACTTCCCGTGGGTGTTTGTCCAGGGAAATGACAGCCTGTGGATGCCGGAAGGGACACAGCAGAGACTGTCGGTTTTTGAGACACCCTGAGCGAAGTCGGCCTTTCTCAGGCAGGGGGGTACCTTCCATGAGAAGATTTCAACAACAGCGACAAAAATAAACTAACAACGATTAAGAATTTAGGGCTAATATCACGATCAAGAATTTAGGGTACCTCGATAAACACCCCCTCAAGAGTTTCTCAGGAGAAGAGCAGCGCCAACCCTTTCGACAGCGACAGCGATGCCGCGGGCGCCGAGCGGGCGGTGGTCAAGAGCCTGACGAACCCCTTCAGCACGGAGGGATCGGAGGCCTGGTTTTTTGCTTGGGGTGGGGAGAACCAGAATGCTTGAAAGTTCTGAGCTGCCAAGGCTACCCAACCAAACTCCATCGGTGCAGCTGAAACCAACCCTCAACCCTCGACCCTGAACCCTCAACCACCACAATACCACCCCCAGCCCCACCCTGACTCTTCAGCCCAACAAAGACCAGAGCTTTGCCGCGAAGCAACCCGCCAGCTGAGCCAGCATAGCAAAATGGGTCAGTCTATTTTCAGGGGGGGCCTTTTTTGGGGGGTTGGGGCTTTTGTTTTTTCCCCGGTCCAAATCCTGTTTTTCTACCAATTCTCTTCAATCGGAATTTGGGGGGTGGGCATGTACCAAAATGGCACCTTGGCAAATGGAAACAAAGACTAAGCCTGCGAGACCCTGAGTCTTCGATGTTGAGCAACACCCATTTGGACAATGCTGTCAACCCTGGAAGGATGCTTCTGCAAATTCCAACAATGGCTTCCCATGGTTTCAAAGTGATGCGAAGTGATTTCGCAGCCATCCACAGCATCAACAATGCAGCTCACAGGAGGGTTTTGGAAGACTACTTGCCTTTTGGGGAGCCTTCCATGAGCACGTTGGTGCGAGGGAATGAGACATGGAATGAGGCCTAGAAACCATCCAACTGGCGGTTTCCTCTAAGGTCTCAGTGTTCATTCCCACATTCCTTACCGATTTCGCACCGATCGCAAGGAAAGCATCTACCTCAAACCTCAAACTACCATGAAAAAGGACCATTCACCAACCATATTTTTGGGCTGCAACCCCCAAACTACCATCAACAAATTCACCACCCATGATTTTGGGTTGCAACCCCCAAGCTACCATCCAAAACATGGAGCTCACCATTTGGGGGTTGCCATGACCAATTTTTTTTCCGCAACTGCGCCTGACACCTCCCACCCACCCCAACCTTCAGCGCGCCCGGGAAGAGCCGCGGGCCCCGAGCCGCGCCAGGAGCGGAACCCTTTCGACTCGGCCAGCCGCAGCGGAAGCCTCGGAGGCGCCGGAAACCGCCCGGAAAGGGGGGGGGGAGGGGGAGGGAGGGGGGGCATATACATATTTATCAATATATATATATATACACACTGCATGCATATATATATGTATAATATATATATATATATTATATATATATATATGTATTCTATGTACATGAGCAAATAGATATGTCATTATGTGAACATTGGATTGCAGGCGCACTCACATGTGCATACATGTTGGATATGTGCACATGTTGCTTGTCCACGTACCGGATCATGGGAGATTATTTCCTGATTGCCGGGATCAGCCAGCTTTGCCTAAACTGGGCCCGTCCAACAACGGAGGCCAACGTGATGCTCAAACAAGGATGGCTTGAACATGTCAAGAGATGCGGGGCATGAACCCAGTTGCAAACTTGGCCACCCACTAAGTCACCACAACATTTTTTTTGCGCTTGCCCACGTGAAATCAGCCTAGCACACGGCAATGGCCTGTGGCCTTCTGGGCTGTCCTTGCCAAGCAAGCTCCAGCAAAAGCGGCCTCGAGTCGTGCAAGGGGGTGTCAGAGAGGTTCCACCAGTGGAAGTCAACCGAACTTGGGGGTTTGTTCTCCTCACACACACACACACAGACGCGCACACACACACATGTTTGCTGTACTCCCTTTATTTTTCCAGGGATCCTTCTTTTCAAGCACGGCCAAAATGTCTGGGCGGCGCTGTTTGAAGAAGTGTAGAAAGCCCAAATCATGGGGGATCAATCAGTTCAGACCGTGACCATAATCCCCTTGAACTGAGAAAAGGATACGACCGATCTATGCGTATGCATATATTCATATACGTATACTTATATACATATATTTATATACATATACACATGGTTTCAGTGGAAGCTTTTGTGTTTATAAAAATTGCTGGGCCGAAGCTCCTTTGGGCCCGGCGCTCCAGGCGGCCCCTTTTCCTCGCCTTTCGCGGACGAGGTCGCCGGAGAGGAAGGCGTGGCATGGATCCGGTTGGGTTTCCTTTGAGGGTGTCCTTTTTCCGGTTGGGTTGAAAGGGCCACCGACAAAAAGACCGGGCATTCCATTTTGTTGGGCTCTATTTTGAGACAAGCCCAAGTGATCAGCCTCTAGAAGCAAGGTTTGGTTGATGCTCAACTAGTTGTTTAAGAACTCGTCACAAAACTCGGTGTTTGGCTTTTGGGTCTCTACGCAGCATCCAAAAGGAGTTTTGAGCTTGGTGCATCAACAACCAAACCTCAGATGGATGTGTATCAACCTTAGCGTCCCAAATATCCCTTGTCAAACATTCGATCAGATCGAAGGGGTGAAAGAATGCAACCACGGACATGTGTGAAACTCCCTTTTGGTTTCTCTTTAAACCAACCCAAAAACAGGTTCCCTCGAGAAAAGAAAAGAAAAGCACGCACCCAGATCATTCGAGCGCTGATTTCAGGTGCCTTGTGGGGCAAATCCTTCCCGTGGGACACTGTTCGCACGTGTTCTTGGAATCGGTTTGATCCCAGCGCACCGCCGTTGAATGCGCACAAGGGTGCATCGCTTTTCTTTTCAGGGACCCCTTCGCCCCCAAACAAAAGGGTGGCTTTCCTTTTGCTTTTTCTTTAAACCAACCCCAGAAAGGGTAGCCTCAACAAAAACCACACACCCACCTTGACATGTAGTTACTTGTTGGTCTGGTTCTGTTTCTGTGGCCGCTGAATCGAACCTTGCGCGGATGGGCCGCTAGGCAGATAGATCTGGCGCATCTGGCTCAAGCCCAGGGGCTGATCTGCTTTGTCCCCAAAGGCGAATCGGCAAAGGAGAATGCAACTGAACGAGGAGCCAACAAGTTGGGGCGCTCAAACTTGGAAGCACCCAACATGTTCGACACGGTGGTGAATGTTGCCCTGGAATGATGGCCAACCCTCAGACTATGCTCTCCGGTTGAAGGATGCGCAAAGCGCAGAACATGCATGCACCAACCTTGGCAGACGGGAGAACAATGCAAACAACCAAAAAAGCCGAGCGATGGCAGTTTGGCAGCGGCGGGTACTATACATGCAGTACAAACAAATCCTGTCTTTCTCGTTCTCTGTCATCTAGAATCAGGTCTCCACACCTATCTGTATACACATTTCTATGCTTCCAACTACAGCCAGACACACATTTGCACATACATAAGTCTCACATATTATCTGGCACAAACACATCTATTTGTTTTACACATACTATACACATAATTCGTGTGTATATATATATATGTAGTATCCCGACATCATATACAAGTGTGTGTATATGTATGTATATATATATACATATGTATATGCCATATACACAGTGTCCAGATCCCTGCACTCACATTTCCGGGGTCGCCCCATGTTCCGTCGGGAGATTTGGTACCTCGCGGCGCTGGGCACTTGCTGCGCGCTGCTGCTCCTAGCGCGTCTGTCGCTCGGCGTCGGCCGATGGCATGCCGTCGGGTACCCAAATGCCTGGAGCCTGGCGGTGTGGCTGCGCTTCAAAGACGCGGACGCCAAGGAAGCGGCGGAAGGGGGGGGTGACTTCCGCTGGCTGAAGATGAAGAGCTGCTTTTTCTTCTGCTGTTGGTGTTGAAGGGAATCCCATCACTGGAAAAAGTAGTTTTCATGTTTTCGGGGGACTGAAGCAAATGGAGGCAAACGGTGGCAACACCCTCAGGGGATGTCCCGGCAACCCAGCGCGAAACCCGAACTTTCTGTGAGGCTCGGTAGGCTTTCTGGATGATTTTGGACGGGCGATTGCCTCCCCTTTTGGACCGTTTCCCCTGACTTTTCTGCAAGAAGCACGCAGGTACCTTTTTTTGGAGATTGTCAGGAGGAGCTGCTCGCTGCTTGGGCGCCCTTGGCGCGGTACGTGCAGCAGGAGGAGGACTTTGTGCTGCTCTTCGAGGCCATTCAGAGCGACAAGGCGTGTCCGTGGCGCGGAGAAAAACGGTCTCCGCCGCAATTCGGGAGACCCTCCAACACAGCATCCTGGTTTTTTAGGCCCTTTGGCCAGCCGAAATGAACCCCCCAAAAAATCTCTGACCTACCACCAAATCAATGCGAATAGGCAGCCCTGGCCGAGCGATTCACAGCCCACTTTAGAGGTACATGAGGGAGGCCGAGCCGGGGCTAGTAAACAAGCAACAACAGCTCAACCAAAGGGAGCTGGCAGGAATATATGTTGGACCTCTTTAAATGGGGTTCTAAACGACATCTCTGGGTCCCTCGAGGCCGAACGGTGCTACAAACGGACAGCAGTCCGTTGGCCCCGAAAACAACAAGCGGGCAGTTGCGGGGTTTTCCGAGAGGCGAAGGGCAATCAAAGCTTGGGTTTCTTACAAACCTCTACGGATGGTAAGTGTTGTCCTCAAGAATGGTCACATGCCGATTGTGGCGTTGGCCCAATTTGCGGGGCTGTGGTGCGGGGTTTTTCTTCAACAAAAATGGTGGGTGGCGGCCAAACAGGGACGCCAAACACCTGAAGGGCCAAACTTGGAGTGCCTCGGAATCGATGGTCTCAAACTCGGGGGTCGAACTGTCGCTTTTTCCTTGGGTTCCCCTGGAAAACGCCTGCGCAAATTCTTGGCGCCGAGCCTCCAAAAAGACGAGCCCAGGCCTGACAAGTTTGTTTTGGAGGTGAAAGAAAGGTGACACCAAAGGCATAGGTGTCCTTTTCAGGTTGGTTGGTTAGAAATATATGGCGCTGGTTTAGATTCATTTACCAGGCCCATCTATTGTTCCAAATGGACGCCTATGACCAAAAGGACACCGCGTTTGTTTTGGGCGCCCAAAAGGAAACGCCCAAGGATCATTGTAGAAAGTTCATTGGGATCTTTGGCCTTGTCTGTTTTGGACAATGTCCGGTTGGGTCATGTCTCCTTTTCGTTAAAGCCCGGACCTGTTTTTTAAAGTTCTTTACGGAAAAACAACGGGAACACGCCCTTTCAGGGGTTTTCAGAACTGTAGCAAGATCTACACATGTGTGGAATATTAGCTGGCATGGGTTGTTATTGCTTTTGAGGTTGGTATTCATGGGCATTCCATATTTTGGACATGAATTCATTCACCTGACCTAGACCCATTGTGTAGAGTCAGTTTCTCAAACGGCGTTGGGGTTGAGCTCACGTTCCAGGACCCGCTGCTGGTGATGGTGGATGAGCGCTACGTGAACAAGGAGGCGTATACTGAGAAGCACAGGAAGAGCCAGGCGTCGGAGCGATCGGGGCATATCCGCACATGGGACCGCATCAGCGATGGTTTGGAGCAGGGCGACATGATTGTTCAAGCCAGACCCTGGCTTCGCCCCAAACAGCAACGGGAAGGTTGCTGAAAACTAGATCTAGATTGGTTTGAAGGTGCTTAAACAAGGTGGTGGTTATCGGACCTTTTGATCAACTCCCACACTTTTTCTGGACCCTCAAACTACCTGAACAAGGGGGAATCACCAACCATCATTTGGGTTGCAACACTTTTCATGTTGAAGTTGGTATTTTGAGGGTCCAGGCATATATATATATATGTATATATTTAAGCGAACCTGCCAGGCCTTCTTTGAGTTCCGCCCCAAGATGCGGAAGTTGCAGGACGAGGGCCGGCTGCAAGTGACCGGAGACAGCGGCACGACCATCGGCTTGGATTCCATTTGAGCCACAATCAATGGGGTACATGGACTCTGGACGGTCCCTTTGCCAGAAATCGGTGCAACTATCGCTGGTGTTGATTGTGACTCGTTCAGTGCTCACGGTTAGTAGTGCAAAGTGCAGCTTGGATTCGCAACGCAGGCGGCGATTGCGCTTGGCTGCCCCAGAAGCCCAGAAGTGGCCCTGTTATTTGATCCTGAAAGCTGTGCAGCTACCCCACACAAACCGTCCCTTCCTCATTTAATTTGGGTCTGTCTCTTTTGGCGGGCACCCCTTCTTGGTGGCTTGAACGAGAAGATAAAAGGAAAACCACCAACTTTTGGGGGTCCAACCTGAAATTTTATCCAAGTCAATGGGCAGAAGCTTTCAGCTTCCGGCTTCCGCCAGCGGCCAAAGCCGCCGCTGAGACATGGCGGCGGTGCTTCGATTCTTGAAAAATGCGGGTCCTTGCCGCAACATGGTTGTTGTTGGGAAACATGTTGGATTTTGTTGCTTATTGTGGTTTAGTGGTTGAAATCCAACCACTGAACTTCTAAATCGTTTTAAGTTTTGCTCCCCTTCCCAACGTCAACCGAGACAACGGCCCGAGCTGGTTGCTGTAAATGTCAAAACACTTTTTCAAAGGGCTTGGAAGGGGTGCTTGCGGCTTGCCAGCATGTTAAGCTAAGTACCTGCCAGTACGTTGCCTTCTTGAGTGGCTTGCTGCTTCTCAGGAAGTGAACGCATCAAGTGCGGTGGCCTTTTTGACGGGACCCAAATTGGGGATGAGTCGAAATACGGAAACCCCTTCAAATGGGTGGGTTCACTTGGTTTCCCTTTTAGCCGGCCTAAAAGAGTACCTGGTTTAGATTTTTACACGGGCCCGCAGAAAGGAGGTGTTCAATTTCCCTTGGCGTCCATCAACAGCGGTTTTTCATTATTTGCTTCTCAAGCAACTGAACAATTCCGCGGGACATATTCAACAAAGCAGCAAGCCCCCAGACAAAAGAAGGCAAACAGCAATTAAACTGCCACGCATGATTCTGCCAGCCACCAAACACGAATCCTCAGAAACAAGCCAAACGCAAGCCAAACCCAAACCACACGCAAACCACACGCAAACCAAACCCAAACCAAACAAGATTCCGGCGCAAAGCTAGAGGACTCAAGAGAACGGAAGCACGCCAGGCCCAGCCTGCTCGCCCTTGCAGGACGGCCGGTCGCCGAAGGATTCGCTCGTGGACACGGGCCGGGGGTGGGCTCCAAAAGGGGCGCCTGTGCTTTTTTGATGGGTTCAAAAGGAGGCGATTTTTGGGGGGGTCCCGTGCTTGTTTGTTTGTTTGTTTGTTTGTTTGTTTGTTGTTGTTTTTTCAATCGGAGGCCAGAAGGGAAACCACCTTTTCGTTCAATGGAGTCCACCAAAACAAAGCCACTCCCTGTTTGTGTCCCTGTAAAACGACACCAAACAGGGTGTGTGTAGGTTCCGTCGGTTTTCCATTCCAGGCAGCACAGTTCTAAGACGATGGAAGCTTTGGAGCACCCCCCTGCAGAGCCATTCCGTTGTTTCTCAAAGTTCGTTGGAACCCCCGCAAAGGAATGGGTCAAAATAAGGCTTCAAGTTTTCAGTTTCCCCAAGCCAGCAACCTGAAAGGCGTACAGCGCCTCAGCAAATGCAGGACAAGACCAAACGGGAAGGATCATGATTGAGCTCCCCCCGGCTTTGGTTCGAGCTTCTGCCGAATGTCCGGTTTCCACACGAAATAAGGCGCCAGCTCTGTTTATTCTGCGCAGCAACAGGCACAAGTCAAGCCCAAAGCCACCTGCAAAGAGCGCCGCAAACCCATCCAAAACGGGGAAGCCTCAAGAATTTGAACCATCGTTTTTGGGAGGCCACAAGGGAAACCACGTAGGGGAAACTCGGCCCAGCCAACCCACCCCAGGACGCCACGGTGGGTTTCACCGCTATGAGCCCCACCAGCCTGGAGGACAGGGAAACAGCCGGATGCGCGGGGTTCATGCTAAGCAGCCGTTGATGTCACAATGCCAGTTCAGAAGTTCTATGATGCTTCGCATTGGCCACTGATGAATGGCTCATGACCCCAAGAAAGACCATCCCACGGGTGATTTCCTTTTCTGGGTTCATTCCCGCATTCCCCACTGAGCGCCAGCAAGTGACCTGGTTAGGAAACCCATCGTCCTTGTACCTTTTGTTTTGGGAAGCCTTCTCATTGAGGGGATTGGGCAAGAGGTCCTTTGCAAAGACAGACTTTCCCACCTGGGTGTGGCTCAAAATTAAAGAGCCAGTGGTACGCAGGTTTTAGTCTTTGCTTCCATTACCAAGGGGCCATTTCGGATACGCTTTTTTGAGCCACAGCCACCTGGGAACAGCAAGTTGGGAGCCGATCGGACTAGACAGTCACCTTGAACTTGTTGCGCGTGCACGCGTCAAACTAGGGACCTGATCCCCGCGTGGTCTGTGAGTGCTGAAGGTCCAAGCACGGGGCCCCGTAGTGTCTGAACCCCCCCCGCAGAGCAAGCCAGGTGATTTTTCGGGTTGAGCCTAAACATGGCTCCCCCCCCCTAACAAAAGGGTCGACTGCTCGACAAGAGGCAGTTTTTTTTTGTTTGGTTGGGGTCCCTGTTCATCTGCGAGTAGCCTCAATGTCAGGAGATCAGCCCGCCCGCCAACAGTGGCAGCGCGCCCGGCACGCCCCGCACGCCCCGGACAGCTCTGCTGCAGCGGCCCCTCTGCCGCTTGGCTCGTCCGTGCCCTTTTCGCCGTGGCTTGGGCTACTACCATGGAAACAATGGTGGGGTTCATATATTGCCGTTCATATAGCCATGGTTTACCCAAGGATTGTCATCATCCAATTTGGGTCAACCTTTCTTTTCATGGCGGTTGAGCCCTGCCCGATTTCGACACATACCCATTGAAAGCATCAACCAACAACAGTTACGGGTCTTGATTCACATTCCTTCCCCATTCACAGCCACGTCATTTCTTAGGCAAACTCGGAGGGGAAGCCATGGGCAAACTCAGAGGACACAAAATTGGTCCCTTTTTGAGGGTTCCCGTGGATTAGGGAAGCCAGCAGGAACCAGCTTCCTGAAGGCTTCCGGTGTTTCTTCCAAGCGTTTGCGCTTCGGGGGTTGTTTAAGACTTGAAAGACCGACTGCAACACACATGGCGGACAAGCCATTATGCATCAGTCCAGTTCATGGCTTGAACAACATGTGTAGCAAACACTACCAAACTCATCCGGAGATACACTCGCTTCACGAGTCTCTGTACCCGGCCCTTGCTTTAAAAACTTCTATGTCTAGGGCCCCGGTCCTAAAGAAGACTTTCTCCTTTCGGCTCGCGAGCGCTTTCCGCGCTGAGAAGGTTGGTAAATACTGAGGTTTGTTGGGTTTAGAGCCCCATGTGGGTGGGTAATTTTCTGAGGATGCGGCACTTTTTGAGTGATCTTTTCAAGGACACCAAGAGGACACCAACAATCTTTTCTTGGGGAACTGTACTGCTTTTGAGTTGAATCAAAAGGGGAAATGAAAGAGAGCCCACCAATTTGGGGTGGGTGGGTGGGGGTCTCCCTACTTTAAGGCGCTGCCCTCAAACCCACCCACCAAAAATAGGGGGGGGTTGTGGGGTGGGGTTGGAGGGGTGGGGGGGGTCTCCGCGCCTGGCGTCCAAATTCTTGGGGCCGTTTCGTTTCGCCTGGGCCGTGGGCCGCCTGCTCCAGGCATGGACAAGGTCTCCGAGGCCGACGGCAGCGCCGTGCCGAGGAGCCCGAGCCCGCGGGTCACCTCTCTGCTGCCAGGTGGGGCGGGGGGGGGGGGGCCTGAGACATGGCCCGTTGGAGAAGTTCGACCTCAGCCGTGCTGGTAACCAGTTGGTGTTAAAATGATACTCTCTGTCCCCCCAGCTAGGTGCCCACTTTTTACCGCTACTAAATGGACTACAGAAAAAAGTGGGTAGCCTTATTCTAACCTCTGGAGGACCTAGGCCCTGTGCTTGGTGCGAAATCGGTGCGGAATGTGGTCGAATGAACGGGGTTGGACACCTGAAAGAAAGCCGCAAGGGATGGGTTTATGGGGGTTTTCAGCTTTCCAAAGGGGAGGTTTGGAGACCAAACGAAGCCTCAGCTGCTCGGTTTTGTTGGGGTTGGCACCTTAAGAAGAAGTGGGAAAACCAAAGGAAGCCTCGCAAGCAGCTCCACTCCAATTGGCGGTTTGGATTTGTTTGCAGGTTAGGAAGTGGTTACCCACTTGCCCTCTTGGGAAACTCCGTGTAGAGGTCCCCCCAACGTCCACACCACAAATCCAAACCAACAACTAGGGCCAAGCTGATTTTTGGGGTGGTTTTACATGAACACCAAGAGGAAAGCCGAATGAATTGAGATTACGGGGGGACCTGCAAGGATAGGAGGGCTACTCCCCAGCAATTGGACATGGAAACCCAACTGAACGGAGTCCGATGCTGAGATGTCCCTCGAAGGTTCATTCTTTGATTTTCGGGAGGGTATGGCCAAGCTGCCCAATCTGGCACAGAGCCCATCGAGCTCACCGATTCGGGGCGAAAAGCTCACGCAGAAGCGCCTGGAAACCCGAAAGTGCCTTCATACAGGGCTCCTTAAAGGATCTCCATTTTGCCACCATTGGAAACATGTGGCTTTTTCCACACCAAAATAAAGTTGGACACCACCATGTACAAGTTGCAATGTTCAGGGATTCAGGGCGAGTAAAAAGAAGGCCCCCAAGCCTCAAAAAGTGTGCCTGCTGCCAAGCCGAGTCATTCATCCGCCTCAGGTGGAGCTTCTAGCCTTGAGGCTCGGGGGTTTCGGCGATTCGATTTGTAGCATTTTACGGCCACAGGTAAAGCCCGGGTAGATGAAGGTGGGCAAGGGATGATCCCAATCATACTCCGCCTTTTTAAGTCCTCACATGGTTCTGGGTTGACCATCTCAATACCGACCGGTTTTGATTGTGACTCATTTGACCTGCAAACACATTAAATGTAGAATATATGTAGGTCACCTCATATACACTGGGTTGCAGGAGGGCGTCTATCCCGGAGTTGTCCCCAAGAAGATTTGCATCCTGGAAGCCTGCATTTCGCGCAGGAAGAGAGATGAGCGCCTTGTGTTGCTAGCTTAGTCTGCTTGAACATGGCGCTTGTCTCAACCTTCAGGACACCTGCAATTGGGTATGGGTCAAAAATTAAATTACTAGGGGACCGCAGGTTTTTGTCTGTGTTACCACCGGGTTCAATGTTGGGTAGCTATTTTTGACCCACTGCCGATTCTTTGGCTTCCTTTGGCTTCCCTGTTTTTGTTTTGGCACTTGCCAAGTGGTTGGCTCCCTTCGGTTTCAGATGGACTCCGGTGGGCACTGATTCATCTGGGTCTGTCGGAACCGACCATTTTGGTTGGTTCTTAACGGGAAGCCTGGTTTTTTGTGGGTCAAGGGAACCTTGTTAGAAACCAAAAGGACAATGGCGAAGGGTTAGCTACTACAAGGGTTTGCCTGGGATCCACTGGAACTATGTGGATTGGCCAAATCCAGTTCGCGCCTATCGGCGTGGATAAACCAAAAAGCCAACTGAGCCACGTGCTCAAAACCGATTCGGGTAGATGATCCGGCTAATTAGGGACAATCCCCTGGTGATAAATAGCTGCGGATATCCGCCTTCTTAATTCTTGAAACATGGTTCTGGGATTACGACTATTTTAGTACCGGGTTTTGATTCTGACTCAACTCAACTGGTGGGCCAAGATCCAATTCGTGTGGAGCCAGCTCCCGGCCTTGTGGCCGGAGGCATGCGAGGGACCGGCTTCCCATTAGGTTTCAAGAGGAGCCGAAAGGAGCCATCCCCAACCAATCCGAACCACCCCAAAACGCCCAAAACCCCCAAAACCCCCCCAAAACCCCCCAAAACCCCTAAGCCTCTGAAGCCCTACACCTCTGAAGCCCTAAACCTCTTAACCTCTAGACCCTCAAGCCCCTAAACCCCTAAAGCCCTAAACCTCCAGCCCCCTGACCCTCCCTCAAACCTGCGCCCTTCGCTCTGCCAGATGTGGCGCCGGCCCTCGCCGCGGCAGATGGCCGAAGGGCTGGCGGGCTGCTTGTGCAACGTGCGGCCCGGGGCTCGTCGAAGACCCGGCGCGGGCGAGGCGTCGAGTCGTTTTGGGGGGCCCCAGGCGCCTCACCGCGAGCCACGCGCTCAAAACCGATGGGGTAGATGAAGGTTCAGGCCCTGGCCATAAATAGCTGCGGATATGAAGGCCTTCTTAATTCTTGAAGCATGGTTCTGGGTCGACCATGTTAATGCCGGGTTTTGACTGTGACTCACTTGGACCCGGACAACCAGGACGAGTTCTAACACGTCCCAGTGGACCCATTTACCTGGCATAGGTGGGCAACCAAGGACTTGCCACCGGATATTTTGCACAAGGCACATGGCTCGAAGGATTTGCCTAGGCTAATCAGGTGGTTTGCCTGAGATCCACTGGGTGTTCTAAGGGCCAAGCGCCGGGGCCAAGGCTTTGAGTCAAACCTCGCCATGCTGGCACTGGCTGTGGCTCAAAAAGCCGGAATTCCAACATGGGTTGCCCTGGTAAGTGGAAAAAGGCCAAAACCTGCGGCTTGCCCCTCCAGTTTAATTTTGAGCCACACCCAGGTGAATCTAGGGGCACTTTCTGTCGGTCCTGTGCGTGGCACGGTGCGCTGGCAGTGCCTAGCTCCCCTTTGATACAGAAAGGGCCATCTTCCACAACGTGAGAAGATCCACTGAAGCCATGTCTTGCAAGGTTGCCCCTCTTGCGCAGGTTCGAAGGAAGGCCGCAGGGAAACTGCCCACTTCGGGGGTTTAGGACGTTTAGAAAGAACTCCAGATGTCGGGTTCGCTCATGCCAACCAGCTACCAGAAGTTCTACAGGAAGTTCACCAAACACCTGAAAGTTTCACAGGACGCGCTGGTGGCTTAGACTCAGTTTCACACAAGCCCTCCGAAATTCGTGGAAGCCAGAGATCTCATCTCGTCTAGATTCCCCTTTGGGACCCCCAAAACCTCGGTCGGAACCCAGCACCAGGTTTCCCCAGGCCCCAACTTGACCGTTGGCTTGGATCCTGGCCCCTGGACTTTGCGGGAAGGCGATGGTCTTGCTTCACTCACCTGCAAAAGCTGAAGCCTCTTGTTGGGCCAAAGCGTAGCTGGAGTCTCCACCAAACTAAGTCTTACATGTTTTTGGACAAAACGTGAAGACTCAGAAAGTCCTAAAAAATCTTCTGCACCTCCCCCCCCCCTCTTGATTTCGTTTGGGCCAAGCAAATCCGAAACACCCGCCCCACTTCTCGCAGACCCCCGCCGACCGCTCTGCTCTCCCGCCTTCCAAACCCGCACGCCGAGGCCGCCCGACGGCGGCGGAGTTTCCTCGGAGGAGCTGCAGCAGCTCGCGGCGGTCAGCCCGGTGAAGGCGCTGCGCGCCGGGGACGCGGCGCTGGCCAGAGGCGCTTTGGGCTTCGGGCGGGTTGCCGGGCGCAACGCGGACGACTATGGGTTTTTGCTGGAAATTGGGGGTTCCTTCTCACCTTCTCTGGAACTAGGTTCATGTAGCAGGTGTTTAGGTTGACGGATTCCTCGTTAAATTGGCAAAGTAGTGTGGAGGGCAGGGCCTTGGGTGGGGCAGGTGGACTTGCCGATTTTAAGTGGGTTTCGAGCTGACGGATTCGTCATTTGTGTGTCTCGTTTTTGGGGAATCCCCCCCCCAAAAAAAAAGTAGTTTCCCTTTGGGTCCACCAAACAGGGGGTACCCTGCAAAAAGAAACACCCATTTATACTTGTCAACTATAATGAAGTTTTTCAGATGCCAGGCACTGACGGCTGGAAGGAGGTAATGGGTGCTTCATGTGCTTCCAAAAATTGAAGGACGCCTAAAGCCGTGGCTGGTGTCCTATTTCCGTTTCCGTTTCCCTTGGAAAAATAGGTGGGAACCAACATGGGAAAGACAGGGGGCTCCAACCAAAGGTCCTCTACAAAGAACGGTGTGTGTGTGACGACCCCCATCTTTCAACCGCTGTGCCTTTTGGGTTCAGATATCACCTTCGGTTCCCATGAGCCCATGTAGATCGATGCCAGCAATGGACGCGCCGTGAAGCTATGGTCCGCCAATAAGGCACTGACTCCTGGTCTTGTTCCCTTGACACATCAAAAAGGGTCGGCGGACACCAGTCATGTGGGCCTGCCTACCCAAAATGGGCTTCGGTGTTCCTCTGGTGTCCCTTTGGTGTCCCTTTGAAACAGACCCAAAAGGGGTACCAACTTGTAAAAGGCACCAACAAACAGACAGACCCATGTAGCTGATGCCCACAAAATTCCTGTTGTAGATAGCGCACCAGTGGGCGGTGTATTAATCGGGTTTCACCCATCCCAACCGAAGCAGTGTTGCCCATCCACAGGCCTGTTTTTGTATCCAAATCAGGGGTCTTCTCTAAATTTATGCAGACCACATATGCTCCAGCGTCTGAACATACATGTGGGGGGACCTTCAAAATGGGTGTCGGTTCCCATGAGTTTCTCCAACAAAACTAAACAGAAGGGTAGCCTCAAACAAAGACACACCCAAGTATTCTTTTGTGTGCCCCAGAGTTGCGCTTGGCGCAAGCTGGATCTCCCCCCTTCCCTTTGGGGCCGATTCCGGCCGAATCGGCCGATTCCTGACCCATAAACAAGGGGCATGGGTCCCAGTTTCAGGGTCCAGGAAAGGAGATCAATGCACCAGGACGCCTGGGGAACAGCGACTACTCCAGCTGGGAGTGGCGTGACCATGCTGCCAACGCCTCGAATCGAGAGTCAGAGGAGGGAAGGGGGCGGGAGAGAGAGAGAGGGAAACGAAAGAAAGAAAGGAAAGAAAGGAAAGAAAGGAAGGACACCTGACAAATAGAAAATGAAAGAAAGAAAGAAAGAAATAAATAAAGAAAGAAAGAAATAAGCAAATAACGAATGAATGAATGAATGAATGAATGAATGAATGAATGAATGAATGAATGAATGAATGAATGAATGAATGAATGAATGAATGAATGAATGAATGAATGAATGAATGAATGAATGAATGAATGAATGAATGAATGAATGAATGAATGAATGAATGAATGAATGAATGAATGAATGAATGAAAGGACGAGAAAAAAAAGAAAGAAAGCAAGCGAGCGAGCGACGCTCTTTTTCTTCTTTTTTTTGGGAGGGGGGAGGTGGGCCAGTGGATCCCACAGTTACCACAGTAGGTAACCCATTGCCCCCTCTGGTGTTTCACAGCTAGTTGAATTGGTTCCCCACCTGTACCAGAAAAAAAAGAAAAGAAAAACAACATGTGGTTCCCCACCAGGTATAAGCATGGATAAGGGAAGCTCGAGCTCTCCTTGCCGATCCCCGGATGCCCGCGCTCAGGTGGAGGAGGGCCACCAGCTCTTGCGCCAAAGCTCCCAGGGCCTCGCCGATTTGCTGGACGAGGAGGCAGGGGTTCCTCCTGCTCGGTTTTGGCGGCGTTGGGGGGCTCGGGAAAAAGGAAATCGGGGCGTCTAGTTAAACAGAAGAAATGGTGCAGACGTCTCGGGGTTTCGGGGTAAATCAAGGGAAATAGAGGTCTCGGAAAAAAAAAAGAAGGAAAAAGGCAATGGTGCATGCTTGTGGGACATCGGGTTTCAGGTTGAGGCTTTTTTGTGCGCCAGCAGAAATCCGGCAAAGCGGTGATAAAGTAGCCATGGGGATGGAAGTCCCCGCTTTGGCATCACGGAAAAAACTAGCCAAGTTTCGGTGGGTTTGGTGGTTTCCTGCTGGAACCAATCAAGATGACTGCTCAACATGTTCGGGATGTTTTGCTTGGGGGGGAGGGGGGATTGGCTCGTACTTCGCCGTTTTCAGCTGTTTGCCAATGAAGTGTGCAAAGGGAAGGAGGGTACCCACTCAGCGGGGCATACCTTTTCGTGTTTGAAACACAGGACACGATCTTCAGCAGGTTTCACGTGGCGTTTCGTGATTTCGTTAAGAGTGTGGGTTTTGCCCTTTCTTTCTTGTTGGAAGAAAAGGAACTCCCCGGGAGTTGACAAGCCCTCTCTGAAGGGCTTTGCTTTGTTTCCTTCCAATGAGCTTCAACAGGTAATCCCTACCAAATAACAAGTTCGAAGCAAGAAAGACAGTGCTTTGGCGTTCAATCCTTCTTTGGTTTTCATAAAACTTCTTTGGTTGATCTTCCGGGGGGGGGGGGGGCGGTTAACTGCAATATGCAGGGCTTTGTCAGCTCAGTTAGCCTTCTAGTCGGTAACCAGCTATTTGCCTTTTAACATTTTTATGTCGGGTGGCTTGCCGCCCCGCCCAGCTGGGGTCCCCGCCTCTAGGTACATGGCTGGGAGTGGTAGGCAACAGCCTAGGAGTTTGGGGGGCATACAAAACCATGATAAATTTTGGGCAAAAGTCGAGGAGAGGCCGAGGGTTTCTTCTGCCGGGAACGATTTCATCTCACAGCCCAAGAACCCGGCGACGTGTTCGAAGCGCTTCGAGCTCGGGGTGCCTTTCTCCAGGGCTGGGCCTGGTTCTCCTATGAGCTCCTGCTGCTGAGCGCCGTCCTCAACAAAAAGGAATGTGAGATGGTTTGGTTCCGAACTTGATTTTTCTTTTACTGGGATTTGAAGAAGTAAGGACTATATAAACCTTGGCAAATCATGTTAGTGGAACTGTGAGCCACAAGCATAAACTCGGGTATTTGAAGGGTAGTGGGATGTTCAATTGGGTAGACTCCTTACCAGGCCTTGTGGCTCATGTGAGGCGTTTAGGGAGGAACTCACTTAATGCCCATCCGGGACTCGCTCACTTTTTCATGAGCATGGCGAGCTGAATTCTTTGACTCCTCATGCTGGGAGATGTTTCCCTGGTTGCCCAGGGCTCCTTAAAAGATACATTTTGCCCATTTGAAACATGGCTTTTTCCACCAAAATAAAGGGACACCGCCATGTACAAGGCAATGTTCAGGTGTATAATGTAAGGATCCCTGCCATTGTTGCTTACCTGGGCCTTCTTTGCAGAGACCCGTTTGAGCCTTCCTTGTTTGGACGTCCCAAGTTTGCCGTCCGTTCTTTTTTTGGGACCCACGGCTTGGACGTCCTAAATTTTTGTCTTTGGTCCGTTCGGGGATCCCTTGACCTTTTCAGGGCTCAAGCCACTTGGAGGTCTCATTGGGTGCTTTCTCCGAAGGGGAGAACCTCGATTGCCCCAAAAAGGGACCCCAAAAAAGGGACCCCATTTAATTGTCCAAAGCGCTTCTCGCAGGTGGTGGTCGGGTGAAGCTGACGTTGTGAAAACTGGGGGAAAACAAACAACACACATAAACTGTGTACCTTCAGCAAAACGACATGGGCGTGTCTCTAACGCCCAAAAGTCCCAGTTAGGGTTATTTGGAAGCTTTGCAAGTTTGTAAGGGTGGGTGGTTTTGGGGTGGTCTTGGTCAACCCCTTGGAACGCAGATGTAGCACAAGTACATTAACAAAACGACACAGGTCACATATTTGTTCCCGTCTTTTTCCGTCCCGTTCCCCCCCCCCCCCCCCCTAACAGCGTCGCTCAGCAGGAGCTTCAGAACATGTTCATTTATCCCTGTTGGTGTCAAGGGAAACCAATCACTGAGCACCTCTTCTTCTATTCGCCGCCGTTATTCGCCCCAAACAGCGCGGCTGCAGCTGGGGTTGGTCTGGTTCTTGGGGACCCGTTCCCCCTCTTTTGGGTTTTTAAAGGCAAGCGCCGAAGGAGGACTCCTGGATTTTGGGGTTCCCCCCAAGTCCCCCCCCACGAACAAAAGGACAGCCCCAGATGGAGGTTTCCTGCACGTTTTCCCCCCCTCTTTTTGATTTCTTTCAGGTGAGCGACAAAGGAAGGCCTGGATGTTGGGGTCCCCCCCAACACAAAAAAGATCAACCCAAATGGGTGTGGCTCAGGTTACGCAAATGATGGTCTCTGCCATTTTGGGAGTTCCATTTTTCAGCCACAGCCAGTTTTTTTCTCCGAGTTTGTGCTGTGCAGCCCTTTGCTCCGCACTTTTCCCCGCGTCGGGCCAACGTTGGAGGTTTCCGTCTCCGTCTCCGTTTCGCGCTTTTCTCCCGAGGCCGGCACCTGCTGCGGGAGGGCTCCAGTGCCATGGAGCAGGTCACTGCGCTGATCCCCATCTGCCGCGTGCGCCTGGGGGCTGAGAGGCGGTTTTCGCGGCCCAGCGGCCAGGCGGCCGGTTTTTGCAGCCCAGGGGTCGGTTTCTAGGTCCCCCAGCCAGGTGCCAACTTTTACCGTTTCTTTTTTGGTTGGGCGGGTTCGGGACCCTACGTACTAAAGTAGAGTACGGGAAAACAAAAACAACATGGGTACCCTTATTCTGACCTCTCTACTGGAGGACCTAGCTTTGGAGTTGGTTTGGAGCAAGAACTTGCTCAGAAGCTAGGGACTGACCTGTTTGTTTTCTCCGGGGCTTGGGAATTTGTTTCGCTTTTGGAGGCCCTTTCGAAAGATGGACATCCCAATGGGATGCTCGTGTTTCTCGTTGGGTTCCAACTCACTGAGAACCGGCCTCGGCATCTTGGTAGCTCGTTCCCTGGGACCAGGCGGCAAACCATCGCTAAGGTTCACCCCGGAAGCAGAACCCGTGGTTGTTGAAATCGCGCGATCCGCCGACGCCAGTGGACAGTCCATTAACAAACTGGGTGCCTCAAGTTTGGGGTCAGGAAAAAGACGTCTTTTTGCCTGGGTCATTGTTCATGTCCCAGATGCTGAGGATGCTGGAAATGCAAGGGATGCAGCCACACAACTTACAAGAACAAACCCAATCTTCACGCTCAAGATTTTAAGACTTTCACACACGCGACATTGACCAAACACAGAAAATGCGAGACCGGCTAGCCACAAAAAAGTGCAAAAAATCAAGGTTTTTGAATATTTCCCAAAAGCAGCCATCAAAAACCGATACTAGCAACCCCCCTCAAATACCCTAAGAATAGACTTCCAACAGCACGATAATGCAGGGGATGTTTCGCAGTAACTGCTCCGTACAGGTGGGGGAATTGCAAGAAAACTCATTTTTTGCAGATTTCAAAAGTTCCTCAAGTGTCACTGCACTTGGCTTCACCCAAACCCCTAACAGGCCAATTCCAACATCGCTTGAAACAGCAAAACGCCACTAGTATCTGCAAACGAAAGAGACAAATTCATGGCAACAAGATAATCCTGATGATGCTGGGGATGCAGATCCTGCGTGTCCGGGGCGAAACGCAGATTTCTAGCACGAAAGGCCCAAAAACACTGGAAACATACAGGGTTTTGGACACGTAGCACAGCATGCCCAAAAATAGCAGTCCCAAAAGCCTTCGGCTTTGATAAGAGATTCCGAAGGAAGACCAAGTTGCGGACTGCCATCTACACGCTCGACTGGCGTCGGCGGATTAAGATGGGGGGAGGGGGAGTTCCCCTCCAAAAGTGAGACACCCCCCCACAAAAACCGGAATCGGACACCCCCAGAATTAATAAACAGGGGTTTATGAATCCGGGGTCAACGTTAGCATGTAGTCTATGACCTTCAACTTGTTTGGGCTTTGGACCATGTAAGTGGCGCCCGAAACAGTTTGGACTTTGTGTGGCCAGTCAGGATGTGTGGCAAACCCAACAGTGTAGGCTTTTTCCAGCGATGGGACAGAGTTCCCTGCTGATGTACATAGCGTGAGCTTGTCTTGGTGGCGAAATGCAGGGAACCCTTTTGGTCAAAAGATCGCTTGCGTTGGGGCAGGTAGGAATGATCAACCTATTGAGGGGGTTGGACAACCATGGCGACATGGTGCGACAAAGTCAAGCGCTGGTGAAATGCACCAGCGAGCACGGGGTTCCCCAGCCACCACACGGGCGCTTTCCGCGTGTTGGCTGCAGAAACAGAGTATCAGGTGCAGACCCAAGAAACCAAATCTTCCAGCCAAACAAAGGCGAACACCGATTGGTCATTTGATTGGCGTGGTGATGAATCTGCGCAAATGATTGCAAGCTCACGTTGAACGAGCTCACCCCTGATGGAGGTAGTTCCGGCTCAACATTTATAACAACTTGCCCATCTTACTTCGCATTCACTCGAACGATGACGGAGCATACTTGAATTCTCGACCTCGGCTTGAACTTTCTGACCAAAATTGTATTGCCAAGAATGACCTCAATCATGGCACCCCTTCTTGGGTAGGACACCACTTTCTCCAAATTATTTTTTTTGTCTTAATGTTTTTGCAAAAGCAAATCGGACGACTGGTAGACTAAAGCGACGTCCAAGAAGGGTAAGGTTCAACTGCCACAGACAAATTGCACCTGTGGGGTGTACCAGGTGCCATGGTCGAAGTGGGAGGGTGAACTTGGCTCGCTCGGATGGATCTGGAAGATCATTTTACTGTTGGTAGAAAAAGCCGGTCACCAGCCCCAGCCAGTGGTGGTTGGGTGCGCTCGGATAGTGGGTAATCAGCTTTCTTCCGGCTATGACTCCGGCATATGTGTGCGGCCTCATTTTGAAAGCGGTCCGCCTTAGGGAGACTCCCAGTAAACTGTTTAAGGACAACCAGAAGGAGTTATGGCTAGGAGGGTCGCCCAAAATGTTGGTAATTGGTTTGGAGGGTACCCTTAGACTCGTTGAGGAAAAACAAACGAAGACTGACATCCACGTGTGGGGTCCCCTACTGTGACACTTGGGTTTATCTTGGGTTTAAAACGCGGGTTCTAAACATATATATATATATATATACTATGTATAATTTTTATTTGTTTGTTTCGGGGAGTCGCCGTTGTCCAGTCCCCGTCGTTTCGGCGGCGGCGGGCGGAGGATGCGGTGAGTTTCTCTCTCTCGTTTGTTTCGGGGAGGGTGCCCTTTTTGGGGTTGTCAACCCAAGGCATTCCCAAGCAAATCTCCAGTCGGTGTTCGGTCGACTCTACGCTGAGGCCTGGGCATCAACTCCCAACTGCACCACCACCTGGCGGAGCTTTCGAGGCCCGACGCCGAGGCGCCCGGTGGCTTCGCTCAAGAAATCCTGGGCGAGTTTCAATGAAAGCCGCCCGTCGGTTGGTCAGCTTACTTTTTTTTTGCCATGGCACCTCACACCTGGGGTTCTTAGAGATAAGTTTCATCTTTCACTAGGTCCCCCAGCAATTGGTGCACGACCTCTCACCCCTTTTTTGGTTGGGAGGGTTCGGGACCCAACGAAAATAGACTACAGAAAAAAACATCGGGTACCAACTTACTCTAACCTCTCTACTGGAGGAAGTGGTCGACTGGGGGTGGACTGGAGGCTCGGTTTCAGTACCTGCGCCTCTAAATGATGGCCACCCCATGAGCAGAAAAACTTGCCACTCAAATGGTGTGATTTTGGTGTCATTTGCCAGCCATTGCGGGGTTCTGGTTTCCTCCTGTCTTCCTTTTGCAAGGACCAACTTACTGTGAAAGGGTCGAAAGGGATCAACCCAATCGTTTGTTTCGAAAGGAAGCCAAAAGGAAAGCCAAAGCCATCTTGGAAAAACAATTCACACTCTGTGACCGAATGAGGGCGCCTCAGGGGCCCAGGAGCCCGTATACAACCCTGGTCTGGCCCTGATCCTTCTGGCCTCAAAACCGCATCCTTGGCGCAGACCGTCTCCCCGCTGGACGTGCGCTACCGCGCGGCGCTGCTGTTGAGGAGCGCTCAAGCACTAGGGGCATTGTTTGGGCAAAGATTGTGACCAAAATGGTTTGCGACCTCATGATGAAGTGTTCTTTCTGGCAGATCCATTTCTGGCTTCCAGGCTGGTGCAGGATTTTCAAAATCAGGGGGCCCCCCAAAATGGGGCACCCTCAACAAGAAAATAGGCACGTGTGAGTTTACCCGCAGCTTTACCCTCCGGCGGTTTCCGAGAACCTCGAAGCTCCGGCCCAAAAATGTGCTCCGCGCGCAGGATGTGGGCGCATTGGGAAAGCTTTGAGTATGGCACCGTGGCAGGCGCGAGATACGCCACAGCTGAAAACTGGAACTTGTCTCTCTCTTTTTGTGGGTGCGAAGGTTAGAAAGGGGCAGTCGCAACAAGATGTTTTGGTATAGGTGCGGCCGAGATCTTGGCTATTCTCATGGTTTTGGGCAGACCAACGCAACAGTATGTTTTTTGCAGCTGTTTTGATTGTGACGAAATGTGACAGTGGGAACACCCCATAGGTGCTTGGTGGACATTGCTTGCTGCTTGGTGTGACCTTCAACCGGCTTTGTGGCCAAGGACTTTTTTCGTGAACTTCGGGGTGATGTCCACCAAGGTTCCGATCCAGTGGATCCAGTTACCCTCACTTTCTGAGTTCCGCTTCGGCCTTTGGTCACTTTTTGGGGTTGGTTGCCATTTTCGTGGTAAGCAGAAAGTTTGGACTTTTTTGGGCCAATGCACTCAGGAAGTGTGTACCTGTAATAAGGGTCACCAAGCGCTTTCCTCACAGGGAAATGGCTACTCATCCGCCGGGTTTACGACGGGATCAAGGATCAGCTTGAAAGGTGATGGTGGCTTCCATTTGGTTAAGAATGTGTTTTAGTTTCCCCACTGGACTTAAGCAACTGGATGTTGGGAAGGGAAACAGTAGCAAGCCTAGGTGTCCTTTTTAGACTAGTTTGATATAGAAATAGATGGGTTCCACTGATTTAGATTGGTTTCATTACCCATTGACGAAGCGGAAACCCCACCCATTTCCAACCAGAAGGTCACTTGTGGTAGCAAGCCAGAGATCAAGAGGAAGCATGCTACCTGCACTTCGAGTCTCTGGCTTGCGGGTTTCCCTTTCAACGAACTCCGAAAAGGGGTACCCTGGAAAAGCCACACCCCCACCCAACGGGTCCACGTACCCCCACATTTTTGATTTTTGGTTGTGTGCTACTTTCTTTCTTGTTTTCTTCTGTGTTTGGGTACGGCAATTCGTATTCCGGACATCTGAGGTACAATCTACCAACAAAAGCAGCTGTTTTCCTGTAGAATCTCCGGTACCTGGAGTCTCCTTCTGACCCGAAATAAAAATGGGTCCATGCGTGACCAGCCATTATTTTGGGTAATGACCAATCCATTTTCTAGAAAAAGATGATGGGTCATGACCAACCATAACGAGAATCACCAGAAGTGATGACCAACCATCCATTTTCAAAAGGTCAGATCCGGAGACTCGTTTCGGCAGACACCCCCCTGAGATACGAGCCGCCGCGAAGCTCGCTCGCCAGACCCCTCCAAAGAGTGGGCTGGTCGGTGGATCTGCACCCAGCTCCGGCTGCTGCGGGGAAGCGGGGAGGCCCAAGACGCCAAAAGGAAACCCGCCTTGAATTGTCATATGTTTTGTTTTGGTGGGCAGGGCCGTGTTCAGGTGTATATGATGTTTTCTATTTCGGGGGGGTTGGGGGGGGGGGAAAGGCCATATTCAGGTGCATAATATTGGAACCCTGATGACCCTTATGAAGGGAAGAAGAGATCCGTCCGTCCTGTACCGTTTCAACAGGTCGCCTGAAGCATTGGCACAAGATCCTTCGGGACGTGAATAAAGAGGTGTCTTCTCACTTCAGTGCAGAAACCCTCTTTCAATCCGTCCCTCACCAAACGAAGCAGTTGTCGAACCACCGAAACGGCACGGACCGTAAGCCCGCAACGGCCGAGGCGTCATCGAGCGCGCCATGCAACTTCAAGAGGAGGGGGGCGACGTGTCTGCCTGCCGCAGCCCCCAGCTGTGGGGGGTGTTTCGAATTCAAGTGAGCTTCGACTTGCTGAACTGTTCATTTTGCGTTCTCCCCTGTTGGTTTCAAATATGTTCAGTCTTTCTAGTGACGTAAGAAATGAAGGACAACCGAAAATTTGTGGGTACTCTTTCTTGGGTTGGTTAGGAGGGAATCCGAAAGGAACCACTTTTTGTGGGGTCTCCTATTCTAAGGCACGCCCAACCACCCAAACACGAGTAGACTGGGGGGCTGGGTTAAGAATGCAAGTCGCTTCTGTGACTTGGCTCATTCTTGCTGACCCGCATCAAGCAGGCTGTTTTTGTTGTTGGGTGGTTAATGCCCAAAAAATGAAGATCGCAAAAACAAGAGACACCCCCAATGATCAACCAGATGTTTGTGGATCCCGAGTTTCCATTCGGCTGGACCTTGAACTACTTGACTTTTTGGAAACGGCCGCGGCGACGTACTCGAGCAAAGAAACAGGGCAACACAAAATGCATGCATGTTGCTTGTCCATTCCAAAAGGTTGGCTTCTTCAAACCAAAGGCTCAAGGGTTCCGATGTGTGCACCAAAGAACGCAGACCGGGTTGGTTACTGGCAAGCATCAAACGGAAGTCATCCATTTGCAGATCTAGCGCCATCTCCAAGGCCCGTTTGGCGATCTAGGTTGGCCATTTCGGGCGCGAATTGGGATGCGGCGCCTCCGGGGAATCCGATAAGGGAACTTATCCCTTTCTTGTGGAAGCCTCAGCTTACCCTCCTATATTTTGTTACCCCCGGGTGTGGTTCCTTCTTTTGTGGAGTCGCTACCTTTTTGGGGTTGGTTTAAAGGGAAGCCAAAGGGGGGTTCCCTTTAAAAACGACGCACATTCCCCCGGCAAGAGGCTCTCGCCGTGCATCCAAAGTCTTGCGTCCAAGGCGCTCGGTGCTTCCAAGCGCTGAGGGAGCTGAACGAGGCTCGGGTTCAGCCGGCGAGTTCTCGCGGGCGGGGTGAAGTATTCACTTCAGGGCACAACACTCTGCAATTCCCAGAGGGTCCAAGTAGCTTCCGAAGTACTTAGACCCCTTTTTAGCCCTCAGGGGCCATCCTTAGGAGGTACCAAGGGACCTCTGGGATCAGAGGGTTTCTGCACTCAAAGGGGTGCAACTACTGATGGACGAAATCCGTTCGCACCATCGTTCAGAAACCCTGGAATTCTGAGTCCCCTGGTACATACCAACAAACCTTATGGTTTCAACCATGGTTTCTTCGGTGGTGCGGTTGATGGATTTCGCAACCATCCACAGTCTTCGAGCACGGTTTGGTGATCGAGGAATAGGACTGGCAACCCGCCAAAAGGTCTGGATCTTTGAGCCAAAGTGCGCGCAACGCGTCGCGTAGCGAATTGAACCCGTTGAATTCCCGGGAATTCAGGCCCAGTTGTCTTGCCTGGAAATGCGGAATTCAGGCCCAAGAGTAGTTGTCGGTGGTAGAAAACGATCGTAGCTTCCTGCAGTGCGTGGCCGCTTTGGTGGTACTTCAGCACCTAGCCCAAGGATTGAGATAGCAGCCTATGGTCAAATCCGGTTCTGTTTTTTCTTGGGGGGTGGCAGTTCTAACGGGGAACCCCTGGTTAATTATTCGGGGTGTCCTCTTTGAGTGAGGGTTCGTCACTGTCAGAGGTGTTCCCACACCGATTAAATTAATAGGCCCTATTTACAACTCCGGGGTCAACACTACACCCATTTCCGCACCAGTGGCGCGAGAGTGTTGGTTCGATCCGCTTACTTCCGTCGCCCGGGCTCAAGCCTCGGTTTACCAAGCTCTACCATTGGACGATGGCGTTGCTGGTCTTCGTTGTTTCTTTCCTGGCTCTTGCAGCAACCGAGGACTGCAAGCCCGACAGCGAGGTGATCAATCTCCTGCAACGTGGAGATGCTGCGAAGCCTGCGTCCCTGTTGTCTAAGGAAACCGCTGGCTGGTTTAACATCTTCGTCGAGGTTGACCGCAGTCAGAAGTTCGAGGACTTCGTTGTCGAAGTTCCAATTCTTCGTTACGGAATTGAGGTGGATTCTGCCAACACTCGAATTGAGGATTTCAAGGCGAAGATTCAGCGCGCAACAGGTCGCGCCGTGCAAAGTTTGATGTGTGACGGCAAGCTAATCGAGAACGGACACACATTAGCTGATTACAACATTCACGCAGCCAGTTCTTGCCAGGTCACAGAGCAGTGATGCGCAGAACCCGAAAAGGGGTTCAGCAACTACATTACGTTTGAGATGTGTACAGTGCCAAAACACGGAGTAGGTCCCCCAGTAGTGCTAACTTTTACCGTTTCTTTTTTGGTTGGGAGGGTTCCCCTACTAAAATAGACAAAACCAAAAAACAAGAAACATCGGGTACCGACTTATTCTAAGATCTCAAATCTGGAGGACCTAGTCATTCACAAAACACGGTGGTTTGCCTTTTGAATTTCCCATGATGTGCGGCCAGTCTCTAGAAACAGTTGGTTGTTGCAAGTCCTGGCCAGGCCGCGCGTGTTGGCTCTGGAAATTGTAGAGCCGGCGAAGCTGGTGGTCGGAAGTTTCGAGAAAATATATGGCTGTGGGTCAAAATTATGTACCCAAAATGGGTTGCCCTGCCAAATGGAAGCACTAAAACCTGCGGTCCCCTGGTGGTTTAATTGTGACCCATACCCATATTGTAGCGCTCTTTCTCTTTGTCTTTGCTTCCTTTTTCGCTTTTCGCACCCTCACTCCCTCTCTCTCTCTCTCTCTCTCTCTCTCTCTCTCTCTCTCTTTCTCCCTCTCTCTCTTTCTCCCTCTCTCACTTTCTCGCTTTTTTCTCTCCTTCTCTTTTTCTGTTTCTTTCTTCCTTTTTTTCTTCCTTCCTTCTTTCCTTCCTTCCCGCCAAAGCGCGCAGAGTGTCACTCCCGTTCTTCATCTTATTTGTGCGCTTTCGCGCGGAAAGATAGAGCGCTCTATCAAATCTTCTGAAGCTATCTATCTGCGCAAGCTACCTTTCATTCAGTTTCTGTACTACGGAAGTTCCTTCTAAACTTCCTTTGATTCCGCATTTCTTGCAAGCCGAATAGATATTTGTTTGGGTTTGAACTATCAATTCTAAAGAGGCATTGAATTGGATATGCAACTGAATTAAGATTGATATGGTTAGACCTATACTTTGATACATTGGAACATTCTTTTCCGAGGGGTATGTACTCCTTTTTTTAAAACCTGAAAATACCGTTGACAAATTAAATAAGAACAATGATAACCACATGATTATATACATATATTGTATACTTGTTACACACTACCAAAGTTGCATTTTCAGCATCTCAAGGTTCATCAGAGTTATTCCTTAAGAATCTTGAATCTATAACCTTGAGAATCGTGACTACGTCGTGACTCTAAAGCCACGTTGAGGTCACTGGGATTCAAGATTCCCCCGGCATTATGTCCAGTGTCTTGCATCTTGAGTCCCATTCGCTGTAGTAAGCGATTGGCCGCTCCAGCTCAAAAAGCAACTTTTCAGTATAAGCGTAGCGTGACGCTGACACATCCAGTCCACACGCAGTTGGGTCTGTTTTTTCAGGTCAAAGGAAACCCGCCGCCATTCTGCCGATTCCTTAAAACGACACACCCAGTTGGCAAAGACCCCATTTGCCATTCCAGATCGCACTCAGCGGCGGCTGGGGCAAAGTTCAGCCGGTGGAGAGGCCGAATTGGGGATCGAGGGGCCCCAGTGCGCCCACTGGGGACTTCTTCCTTTTGGCCCCCTTTCTTAAGGTTTGTTGGAAACACGTCAACATGTCTAGGCCAGCAAAAAACAATATTTCACATTGCATGAGAGTTTTCGGGCATCCGCTGGTGTTTGGACGCGCCCGTGTTTTTTTCATGGTGCTCCTTTTTTTTCATGCAGGGGTGAACAAATGAACATCAACTTGGTTCATATGGGGGTCTATTTTGGGGACCCCCCCCAAAATGGCGTCGATTTTTCTTGTGGTTTACCTTAGGTGGTCCCCCAAAGCAAGCTCAGCCCGGGAACCCAAAAGCAAACGGGAGTGAAGCACAGATTCTCACCAGGTGGGAGGATTTTGTTGAGTGTGTCACATGACCAGCACGCCTTTTGTGATCCAAAATCGCGCCGCTGCAAGAGGGAAAGCAGAGCTCCGACCTTTTTTTTCTGGCTTAGGCTGCCCGGCCAGAGAACATTCTTGCCACTTTATTCTTGCGAAAGTGGCAAGACGACATTTGTTGCAACGAATGCTCCAAGAGGATGGGGGAATCGGGGGAAGGGGGGGGGAGGGGGGGAGGGGGGGGAGGGTCAAGTTGGGGCTCCCCACTCCGGCTCCGTCCACTCCCCAGCGTCAAGCTCCGCGGTTCGCCCAGCTAAAGACCTTGTGCCCCGCGTAAACGAAAAGTCGCGCAGCAGAGATGCTTTTCAGAAGACGAGCCACCCATTCCCTATTTGGAGACAACTTCCTTGACTCCTACCGAGAACCCCGGCCGCTCAAAGGCTTTAAAGATGGACTCGATCCTGTGAGTGGCATTCAAAAAAAAGCAGCGCCCGCCCAGTAACCCCTGCCATAATGTTTTTTTTTTTTGTTTTTTGTTTTTTTTACCAGTGTTTCTTTCAACGGGCTTAGAAGTTGGCAGTTGTTTACGTTTCAAGGAACTCCTCATCGCTTGGACTTTGGACACCGCTGGCTGGTCAAGCCATTTTTCTTCCGCCTATTCCCTTTTAGCATGTCCACCGAGCCAGCCAAGGAAATGGCCAAGGAGTGAGGGGGAGGGCGCCTGTTTCCCAGGCTCGGCGAGGCCAGCGGCCGGCGCCTGCTAACCATCCTGTGCAAGGAGCTGGATGTGCCTCGCCTGCGAAGGTCGTGGCGGAGAATGGTGGGGTGGGGTGGGGTGGGGTGGGGTGCGAGGTGATGCCCTTTTCGGGGTTGGTTGTCAACCCCTTCATTCGTTGGGATGTTTTTTTTGAGACCCGGGCGAGGCGCTGTGACGGTGCGATGACTGGAGGTTGGGAACTCCTGGGAGCTCATGGGGAGTAGGATATGTCCAGGAGAACACCAGCAAATACATATATATATATATTTTGTTTTTTTGGTTTTCCTCGAGTTTTTTGAGGTTTGTCTAAAAATATAAATTTCAAAGCATTGAAATTAGTAAAAAATGCTAAACAAGGGAGGTTTTTTGCCACTCGTAACACCTGGAAAACCAAAAAGTTTTGGGTTTTTTTGGTTTTCTGATAAAAAACCAAAAAAACTCGAGGAAAACCAAAAAAAAAAAAACCTCGAGAAAACCAAAAAAAACAAAAAAATAGCCAAACCCAAGATTCTCCCCAGAATTTTGGTTTTTTTGGTTTTTTGGTTTTCTCGATGTGTTTTTTGTTTTTTTTGGTTTTCCTCGAGTTGTTTGAGGTTTGTCTAAAAATATAAATTTCAAAGCATTGAAATTAGTAAAAAATGCTAAAAAAGGGAGGTTTTTTGCCACTCGTAATGGTAGGATCTGAAAAAAAACGTAAAAAAAAAACGGTGTTTTTTGCTATTTTTCATATTTTGAACTATGTCTGCAAGAAGGCATACCAAAACGGAATCCGTTTTGTGTATTTTGTTGTTTTTATTGGCGAGAAAGCTAAAAACTATGGAAAAAACACAGTGTTTTTGCAGTCTTTTATGAAGAAATAACAAAAGGTAGTTCATGGGGGGGGACCTGACCATATATATATATATACATATGTATATATATGTCTCAAAAAAGAGGACCCTACAAATTGGTGGTTGTCGTTATGTTTTTTTTTGGAACCATCCCAAAATAGGTATCATTAGAATGTTCGTGAGCGGGAATGTCAGGGCCAACTCATTTGAAGGGTTGGCTCTGACACGCCTCCGGCGGCCGATTTTTCTTACCAAAACCTCCTGTTTGACTCCGCCCGTGTGGCAAGGATCTGAGTCTTTGACTCAGAGGCTGGCGCAAGAAAAGCTCAATCCTCCAGCCCAGGCAGGTGCTGAACAAGTCCGGAGAAAAAACCAACTAGGTCCTAGCCAAAAGGATCGAGACGGGCGATTGATTTCATGTAGGCCTGTTGAACATCATGAATTTCCCTGGCAGATCGATCAGCACACCAAACATATCCGCGCTGTTCTCGGAAAACAAGTCAAGACCGGGTTTTGGGCATGAACCTGCCGATCCCCACTAAAAGGCACAGTGGATGTTTCTGTTCGGGGTCATTCCGACTCATTCCCTGCCTATCAAACCAGCCACTTAAACATCACAATTGAGTCATGTTCAAGCTTAGCTTCCTGCTATATTTCACCTACTTAGACCTTTTATTGGGGACTTCGTATTCAACGCCCGGCCTGGAAAAGATCGATTCTCCCCGAAAAAAAGAAGAAGACAAAACAAACAAACAAACCAAAGGAGAAACAAACAAAACAATCAACAAACCAACAAACAACCAAGGCCTTCGGGGAAACAGCAAAAAAAAAAAGAGGGCCGCCAAGCGGCTGAGGTGCTGAAGCCGGACAACAGCCGAGCTCTCAGTCCGACTTGGGGCGACAATGGCTAATGGCCAGGCCTGGGGAAGGCGATCTGAGCTTGGGCTTGCGAACTCTGGGCAGGTGTTTAGGTTTTCAGGTGTTCTTTTTTGGGGTTCTGCCTCGTTTTTGGGAATTCGGGTGCTTCTCAAGATCGGCTGGGGGCCGATTAGACTCGGCGGGCCTTTTTTTTTAGCGGGGGGTAGGGTTCCACCTCGACGGGGGTTTTTGTGTTCCACGGTGCGTTCCGGCAAGGAGGGGAAGAAGCAAGAGAGCGAGCGGAGCAAGCAAGCGACAAGAATGCCACCAGCCCTTGAAACCAACCCTTGAAACCAACCCTACCTAACCCGATCCCAACTAACCCTAAACGCACCATAAACCAACAAGCAAGCAAGCAAGCAAGCAAGCAAGCCAGCAAGAAAGCAAAGCAAGCAAGCAAGCAAGCAAGCAAGCCAGCAAGAAAGCAAAGCAAGCAAGCAAGCAAGCAAGCAAGCAAGCAAGCAAGCAAGCAAGCAAGCAAGCAAGCAAGCAAGCGAGCGAGCGAGCAAGCAAGCAAGCAAGCAAGCAAGCAAGCAAGCAAGCGCAGTTTACCTTTTGGGGGCGCGTTTTCTTTAAGGCGGCCCCTTTTTGGTTGGTGCTAAAGGCAACCTAAAAGGAACATCACCATTTTAGTTGTTCGTGTTTTTTTTGGGGGGGTCCAACTCCTGAAGAAAAAAAGCAAACAAAGAAAACCACAGACCCCTTGTTCAACCAGATTCCAGTGGCTCCCCCAGCACGGCTCCTTGTGCGAAACAACCAGCGGCGAGGCTGGTGCTTCAACGTGGTCTTCGCGGCGCGGGTCTTCAGCACCTTGTGGCGCGCCGCCGCGGATGTGGACGCCGGGCAGCTCAGTGAGCCGAGGGGATTGGAGGGGATCCCCAGCCCCTGAAAAATGGGATTGGGGAGGGGGGTGGCCCCTGGAGATCTCCATTTGTGGTTTTTCCCGTTTAGGGGGAAGCCCAATTCCATTTGTGGTTCCATGTTCCCTTTTATGGGGAAGACTTGACAAATGGAGTTGGGGACCCCCCAGCCCCCTCCTCCTGAAGGTAGGGGGGATTGGAGGGGTCCAGTTTCTCGCTCTGCAAGCGCCCATGGGGAATTGAGAGAACGGGGGGGCTTGATGTGAGTGGTTTATTTAGAGGATGTGTAAAATGTGTGGGTTTGAACTCCCTTGTTCCTGGACTTCAAGACTTGGCGGGCCCCAAAAGTGAGCTTTGTTTGACCCATAGATTTAATTGCCTGATCCCCACGATGCTGCGCCAAGCAATTGAGGTCTTTTCCCTTCGATCCGTCTCTCAACAGGCTCAATTTGACTTTAAGCTTTAGGCAGGTGAGATTTAACAAGATACCGCATGTTTTTGTTATTATTATTATGGAACGGCAAGGACTCGGAAAAGGCCAGGGGATTTTAGGGCATATTTGGCCAAGATGTTTGCTTAAAGTTGAAGACGTTGAGTCGACGTTGAGGTTTCGAAACTCGTACATCATTGAGTTCTGACTTGGACTTTGCAACCATATCACCTACCGGGCTACGTATTGACTCTGCGTCATGGAGATTGAAGTTGGAAGCACTGGATGTTCCCACGACCTCAAGATCGTGTGGAAAACAGCGAGCTGATCCTGTAGACTGTCGAAGCTCAAATCTAGCGACCAGATGTAATGCACATATCAAGCCTTTCTCTCTCTCTCTCTCTCTCTCTCTTTGATGTTATGACTCACCCAGTGGGTCCCAGTTACCCTTATAGTAGGTAACCCTTCGCCATTTTCCTGTGGGTTTTCAAAGCGTGGCAAGCGCTTGGTTATCCACAAACCAGGGAAATGGATCCACTGGGTCAACTAAATGCCGGAGAAAGGAGAGAGTGGCTGTTGCAGTCCAGGTTCGTGCGCTTTAAGCCGCAGCGAGAGACCAAACCCAGAACTATCCCAATGGTCTGGCCTACCTGAGTCCAGCCTACCTTATCTCCACGTAGAGTTAGCCAAGCACCCCCCAAGCAACCTCCAGCTATCCGTAGGCCGTAAAGCGAGGATTTGGTTCAGACCATCTACACCGGGGTGACAAGAGACGGCCCACTTCCATGTGGGCAAGTAAAGAGGTTGACTAAACCAAGATGGGAATCGTGGCATCTACCGAATCACCCAACTGTACGTGGGTCATGTCATTGTCTTGCCACAACCATGGAAATTAACTTGAGCCATAAATGAACATCTAAATGAAACAATTGTTTGGTGGTGTAAAGGAAACCAACTGGACACCAAATCGACACCGACTGTTTGATGGTGAGACCAAATCGCAACCAACTCACCCAGCAGAGTGCCACCACGACCCCCCCACCTTAGCCCCAACTCCGACTCAAGGCGGAAGACAGGTTGAGCCTGGACGCCCCGAACACCGCCGCTGCTTTGCCTGGCCCCAGGAATAGCCTCAAAAAGATATCTAAACATGGAATGGGATGACCATCAGGGAAACACGGCAAAATTGGTTTGACTTTCACCACTCTGCTCATTTGGGGGCCAGCAATATTGATGAATTTCCGTCACGCAGGTCTGTCTTTGCACAGGGGACCCACAAAATTGTGTTTTTGTCCCTTGGTTTTCATTTGAAAACACCGGAAGAAGGGTGCCCTCAAAAAAGAGCACTTTTCGTAATGGATCACACTTGCGTGGAATTGCGTCGGATCCTTAACCTTGAACTATGTGTGTTTCCCCGCTCGCGAACAAGAGCATTGCACTTTTTTGCGCAGGGGGCAAAAGCAACATAGCATTGTCGTTCAAAAAAGAAGACACACATGATAAACCATATTGGTTTCCCCTTGCAGCAAGCCCAAGAAAGGTATCCGCAAAGCCAGACCCATGCACGAAATGGAAATGGGTGCGAACCTAAAATACGGAAGCCCAACACATCGTTGATTTCCGTTTGCACATCTGTCCCCCCCAATTCCTGCGGTCACCGCCGTACCTGCGCGACTTGTGTGTTGATGTGCCTCACGAAGCTTTGGGAATAGCCCCCTGGCCGTGTCCATCAGGCATTTATCGTTTTGGCGGATGAATGGATGGTCACCATTCGTCTATTATCCTCAACTCAAATCACTTCCCCAAGGGGAACAGGGGTAGTGAGCAGCTTGTTGCATTTGACTGCCTCATGCTGGTTTGTGCCCACCCCCCCAAATAATTCGAACAGCCGCCAGAATGCAACAGGCCCCTCCGACTTCCCCCAGAAGTGCCCTGCAAGAGTCGAGCTTGCGCCCCCGAAAGTCGCAGCTGGGGCCAAGTGCCGCTTCAACCTCCGTGAACTTGGCCTCTCTTGGCCCAAGCCAAGGCTTTCCCGGCAGACCGGCGCTCCAATGTTTGGCTGCACCCCCCAAAACCCTTCGCGCGTCAGACGGACATCAAGCTCTTCGGGTTTTGGAGGTTAGTGAAGGCTCACATTCAAGGGACCATGACAAGTACCCATGCCAACAAGTGGTGGGTAAGTATGTGACACATTAATGGGCAGCGCCTTTCTTTGAGAGACCTTCGCGTTTCTTTAAGCGGGCTCAAAAGATGAAGCGCCCTTGATGTTTGATGGTTGCACAAGCTTTGTGAGTTCCGTTTCGGACGTTTTGTCGCTTTTTGGGTTTGGGCCATGTTGGTGGCAAAAAGTTGGGCTCTCAGAGGTTTGGACCAGACTTAGACACAGTTCCTGAACTTTTGGCCATCCACTCGATCGGACCTCTGAGGCTTTCGGGGCTTCATCCTCACCTGGCACCACTGCAGCCCGGAGCTGAAAGGGCTGGGGTGGGGGTGTGGGGCAAGGGGTGGGAGGTGAGGTTCCGTGCACATCAACCAAAACGCAAACTCGCGCGGCGAAGCTCCGCAAATTGAAGGAAACAAAAAAAACTGAGGCTGCGACCAGACACAAAAACCCAAAGAGCCAACCCAAAGAGCCAACTAATAGTTGCAATTTCTGGTTACCAGTCAGCTAGTTACGTTTATCCCACCATGGATATGACTCCAATCTCGAGTTGCTGCCCCTCAAAAGCGGACTCAATTTCAGTGACTCAAGTGATGGGACTCAAAAGCGGGCTCTTTCCTTCAAAGTGGCTCAAGCGAAGGCGAGCTTGGGGGAAGGAAGGCGCCTGTTGAGCCTCGGCCTCAGCTCCCAGGCTCGAGACACATGCGCTCTTGCTGGTGTCCGGAACCCAGACCCGTTGTTCGCTTGAGACACCCAGAGGGGGCTCAGATTCGGCCGGGGTCGAGGTATGTGTGTGTGTGTGTCGTTTTTCCGGAGTTGCACGTCCCTTTTTGGAGTTGGTACCTTTTTGTTTTCTTCTTTCTTTCTTTTTTCGTGGTGTTGAAGGGGAACCACACTGCTCCCGTGCTCCAACACACAGTTATCACCTTGTCAGACTCCATGCCAGGACCGAACGAAGAAGAAAGACACGCATCGACCCTGTTTTGCAGGGACCCCCCAAAATGGCTGGTTGTTTTCCTTTCTGGTAAAGGGCGATATTTCAAAGCTGCGAGACCTCAGGAATCCTGAACTTCATGTGGAGAGATCCATTTCGTTCTCGTTTTGACTCCTACCCCTGCAGAGTGTTTTTGTGGACCCTTAAAAGGAATATGCTTGTCCGTTAGGAGGGCAATTTCCACGGCATTGCCGAACTTGTGCGGAAGGGATTCCTCATCCAACCAACACCAACTAGCTAGGTCAAATTGGTAAACTGCCTGAAATGAGCCGTTTGCCATTGGTTTCCCTTCAAAGCCTAGGTCCCCCAGTAGTGCCCTTCTCTCCCCCTTTTTTTTTGGGGGGGGGGTTCCCCTACTAAACTAGACTACAGAAAAAAGTTGGTAGCCTAAATCCTAACCTCTCTACTGGAGGACCTATAAAAGCAATCCCCAAAAAAGCGCTTCCCTAAAGAAAGGCCGGTTGCCCGGTCCGCCCGGTTGCCCACCTGGCATCAGATCACCTCTCAGCCCGGTTGCCGCGCGAGGCAGCAGGTCTGGGCAGCCGCGTTCTCCTCGAGCCGGGCCCTCGAAAGCAGAGTGCGAGGGTGTTGGCCTGGGCCAACAAAAATGACACGGATCCAGGATTCCAAAGGGCTTGCAGGCTGGGAAAGCACAAAATTGCGCCATAGGACAGTGAGGGGTGTCATTGATTGTTTTTTTTTTTTTTAGCAGAGCGCCGTGCTTCATGTTCTTTTTTCCCCCCACGTCATGGCAAGCTTGAGTTGTTGGATAGCTCAAGCCAAAACCGCTTGTCTCAAGGCCATAGCTCCAGGCATCGCTGTGGGTTTGTGCGGTTGAGTCTGCAACGTTTTCTGCTTCGTTCAAAGGGAAAACACCCAACTTGCTTTATTTCGACACCTCCCATATTGATGAGAATTACCATTGAGCTTGGTTGACGCGCTTGAACGCCAGCGACTGGCCTTTCCAGCGTAGATGATTTCCGTCAGAACCAAGCTGTGCAAGATGGTGCTTGTTGGAGGACCACTCTTGTCCTCCAGAAACCCCCAATCAACTTTCAGTTACCACTGTCATATGTTTTTGAAGGGTGGTCCCTTGGTGACCTAGCAAATCAGGGACATGGAGTCACTGGTGGTTCTGTGCGTCTGGCTTTCGAGCTTGCCGAAGAAACCAAGTGGTGTCGTCATGCGTTGCACCATCGGGATAAGGAGGAGCCGTTTTGACATGGACCATGAAACTGCAATGTTATCACCCAAAAGCAGGGGTCATCGGATGTTCGCCTTGGTTTTGACCACGGCTATTGCTGGAATGACAGCGTTTGTTCCAAGACCGGTTGAGACCGGCCATGCTCAAAGCCCACGTAGGTAGGTTGATCGAAGGACCTCAGCTGGGCGAACCACAACCGCACGCGCCTGGCCGCCTTCAGGCAGCTTGCAGTTCCCGGCCAAGGCGCGGGCTCAGAATGGGGGAGGGGTGCGTTTTGAGGTCAGGGCAACTTTCCAACTTTTCGGCTTGGGGAGACTGAACCTTCGGCCCATATAGGTGTGTGGGGACCCCCCAAAATGGTGGCTTCCCCGTCAAAACCCCAAAACGGTGGGAAAAAACCCGTCAAAACAATGCAAAGCAATGGGGGTCCCCATAGAAGAAGGCACACAAAATTGGGAAACCTTGCGATCCGCTCTCCTTTTTGGTTCGTACAGGGTGGCAAGCCCTTCACCCACAAGGGGACATGGACTCACCGGGAAAATCCGAGGTCCCGGAAAAGAGAGCCGCTTGGGAAAAGCTGGCGGTTCTTTCAAGCGTCATGTTGCTGGGGTTTTTGGGTGGATTCGAAGACACATAGGTGTGTATGCATGCTTTGTTTTTGCCTTCTTCTTTTTTTGAAATATATGTATATATAATAAAATAAAATAAGAAAACAGGGTTTCATCGGGGAACCACTAAAATGATGGTGTTCCTTTTGGTTTCCCAAAACCCACAAAATATGGTGTGCCCTCAAGAACACGCACACACACACACACCCACTTAGATCCTTTCGGACAGTTTTGGGCTTGGACCCAAGGCTGGTCTCAACAAGATCCAAACATGTTGGTGTGGTTTGTGGTCTCATGTGCCAGGGGTGTGTCACCTCGTCATCACCTTCCATTTGCTTAATAATATGTTTATTATTATTATTATTTGCCCCTGTTGGTTTTAAAGGGAATCTACCACTACTGGACATATATTTTATTTTTTTCCAGGGGTCTTAACCAAATGCAAGTCACCTTCCATCAGTTTTGCTCATGGAGTGTCAGAGACAACTTCTTTCATTGGTTGTGTTGCGAATTCGACCAGTGGATCGTAGCTAAAAGATCAAATCGTATTCTGCCCGCGCAATTCCTCCCTTTGGCAGGCTGCTTGGTACGTGGTGAGTGACCACACTACAGACAATTGTAGAGACTTTGCTGGTCGAGTTCTGTTGTTCAGGGTGGATTGGGGCTGTTTTGGATGGGTTTAGGGTTGGCGTAGGGCTGTTCAGGTTGTTTAGGGTAAGTTTTGGGTTTTGTTCTTGCGAGGTAAAGTTGGGGTTTGTCGAGGGTTAGCTTGCAGTTAGTCTAAGGGTTGTTTTTCTTGTGAAGGGTGGTGGTGCCTGGACGGCATCTGTAAGACGCTGGGTTTTGGCTTCCTCATCTTGGGGTGATGTTGTGTTTTTGTTCCATTCGATTTCGGGTTTGATTTCCCACTGGAATCCCATCTTTGCTTGCTGGTGCTCAGTAGGGAAATGGAATGAACAAGTCGGGATTCCGCAATAAAGGAAACCACTCGTTGGATGGTTTTTCTCGGGGTCAGATTCCATTAAAGGAAACCACCAGTTGGATGGTTTTTCTCGGGGTCATTCCCTCATTCTCTGCATCTCTCCCACCGATCGCCTCGGGGTTTCGGTCGTGCGGCAACCCCCCGTCAGCTCCCAGCGGCTCGCTCGGCCCGCGGAGGCTTTGGAGGTCTCGGCGAGCATCTTGAGCGACTTCTCGCAGTGGCTCCAGCCGGGGTCCTCGGGGTTTTTCGGGGTGCCGGGGGATGGGGGGCTCCTTCCGTGCCGCAAATTTCCGCTCCCAAAACGGCGGGGATGCTTTTGTTTGTTTTGTTGGGCTCTTTTTTTGGGGGAGTTGGGCTGAAATTGGGGAGAGGGCGGGGGTTCGCTTTGTTCAGTGAGGGGATTCCAAAAGCAGCGCGTTTTGAAGGGCTTTGGGCTGAAATTGAAGGGGGGGAGGTTTGCATTTTAGGGTGCGGGTTGAGGATACATGCCTGAATATAAGTGCAACAAGCCTTGGGGGAGTCTGTTGTTCTCTCCGATCGGTGACCTGTTGCGGACCCGTTGAATCACCTGGTTAGGAGCCGGTCTTGCGTTCATTTAAGACGTTGAGCTGGGTAAGAGGGAGTTCTTAGTTTGATGGACATTGCTTAGAAGACCCAGTTGAGCATAGTTGGATCACTAGGTCCCCCAGTAGTGCCCTTTAACCCTTTTTTTGGGGAGGGTTCCCCTACTAAAATAGACTACAGAAAAATAATAATCGGGTACCCATATTCTAACCTCTCTACTGGAGGACCTAGATCAAATGGCTTATCGACCAACAGCCCAGGCCAAGTCGTGTTTTCCCCCGTGGAAGTCCACGGGTCTGGGATAAGGAGGATGATGTCTCTTCCCTTTCGCCACGTGGATGTGCAACCTCCTCAGGGCTAAACCATGATTATAACTCAGCCAACCCCCAGTTGTGTAATGATGGTTGTAAGTTTTGACCCACTCATCAAGTGGTTTGAACATCCAAGCACATCCCCTTTTTTTTCGAAGATCAGCGCCGAAGCCACCGGGTCGGATGTCAAAAGGAACCACACCCATTTAAAGCCACCATGTTGGAGTCCAACCTAGCAAAGACACCCATTGGCTGCTGTTGGTTCTGGGCCGCGCACCAAACAAACCACAGCCGCAGCCGGCGAGCGACCCCCAGGAAGACGCCGGTGGATGCCGCCTCGTGCTTCGCTCGGCAAGGCCGGCGCACTGCAGAGCTTCCTGCAGAACACACTGACAGGAACCCATGCAATCCTAGGTTCCCCAGTAGTGCCCTTTTAATTACCCTTTTTTGGGGGAGGGTTCCCCTACTAAAATAGACTACATAAAAACGGGGTGCCCTTATTCTAACCTCTCTACTGGAGGACCTAGAATCTGTCACGAACCTTGAGCTTGCAACCATTGATCGCTGGGTTGGACGGTTGGATCTTTAACCTAGGGGTAGCCATCAAGATTCCTGAACACGTCTGCCAGCTCAACCAGGCGCATTGCGCATTTGCTTCTCAATGCTTGATTGGCCAGGGACCCCCATCCTTTTCCCCGTTAAACATCACCGTAGTTAGAGGCGGTACGAGGCGGTCAAAATGTGTTGGCAAGAAATGTCACTACATAACTCGAAGAGAGATGTTGGTCGAGTTTGGAAGTAATGCTGACTCTTGTTAGTAGGGGGGTGTCCCTGGGTTTCGTGGGGATTCAGACCACTTTTGGAGTGGGTTTCCAGCCCCATCATATGAATAAGCTGGTTGGTTGATCATATGCGCCCCATATCAATAAACAGGTTGGTTGATCAATCTGGGGCCAACATGGGTTGAAGGTAGTTGTGGTGGATCTTCATGAAAACACAGGAGAAACCTATTGCCTGAAGCCCTGATGGTTCGAATCCTGGGTGGTCTGGCCTGTGGGTCTGTGGGTCCCATGCGCTAGGGAAGATGCAAACGGCTGCACCTTCATAATAGATTGCTTGGTTGGAGTCGAAAAACAACATGAGCAAATCCAAATCTGGTTGGAGTCGAAGATCAACACGAACAAATCCAAGTTTGGTTGGAGTCGAAAAACAACATGAGCAAATCCAACTATTTTTGGATTCGAAGATCAACACGAACAAATCCAAGCTTGGTTGGAGTCGAAAAACAACATGAGCAAATCCAAATCTGGTTGGAGTCGAAGATCAACACGAACAAATCCAAGTTTGGTTGGAGTCGAAAAACAACATGAGCAAATCCAAATCTGGTTGGAGTCGAAGATCAACACGAACAAATCCAAGTTTGGTTGGAGTCGAAAAACAACATGAGCAACTCCAAATCTGGTTGGAGTCGAAGATCAACACGAACAAATCCAAGTTTGGTTGGAGTCGACAAACAACATGAGCAAATCCAAATCTGGTTGGAGTCGAAGATCAACATGAACAAATCCAAGTTTGGTTGGTGTCAAAAAACAACATGAGCAAATCCAAATCTGGTTGGAGTCGAAGATCAACATGAACAAATCCAAGTTTGGTTGGAGTCGAAAAACAACATGAGCGAATCCAACTATGTTTGGAGTCGAAGATCAACACGAACAAATCCAAGTTTGGTTGGAGTCGAATAACAACATGAGCAAATCCAAATCTGGTTGGAGTCGAAAATCAACATGAACAAATCCAAGTTTGGTTGGAGTCGAAGATCAACATGAACAAATGCAAATCTGGTTGGATTCGAAGATCAACATGAACAAATCCAAGTTTGGTTGGAGTCGAAAAACAACATGAGCAAGTCCAAATCTTTTTGGAGTCGAAGATCAACACGAACAAATCCAAGTTTGGTTGGTCGAACAACAGCATGAGCGAATCCAAATCTGGATGGAGTCGAAGATCAATACGAACAAATCCAAGTTTGGTTGGAGTCGAAAAACAACATGAGCAAATCCAAATCTGCTTGGAGTCGAAGATCAACATGAACAAATCCAAGTTTGGTTGGAGTCGAAAAACAACATGAGCAACTCCAAATCTGGTTGGAGTCGAAGATCAACATGAACAAATCCAAGTTTGGTTGCAGTCGAAACACAACATGAGCAAATGCAAGGCATTGGCTGAAATGATTTCCGCTCCTCCTGTTGGTTGTCATGTGTTTCTATCACTGCCTAAATTATTATTTGTTTTTGTCTCAGGGGACGAGCAAAGGAAGGGTCAGACCCCGCACGGGAAAATTTCTAATCTCAGGTGAAGGGACACCCAGGCAGCATTTGAGGGGACGTCAAAAGGACATTTCCAGCAGGGCAGCCCCCAGACATGTTTCCCATTTTATCATTTCAGGGGAGCTTGCCAGAATTTTGGCTTGCATTGCTGCCACACTTTTCCGATCGGGATCCAATCCAAATTTGGTCGGAGTCGAAAAACAACATGAACAAATCCCGATTTGGTCGGAGTCGGAAAAAGAACAAGCAAACAAACAAACAAACAAACAAACAAACAAACAAACAAACAAACTCCAAGTTTGGTTGGAGCTAAAAACAAGAAACACACAGCACCAATGTCCAGGGCTTTCCAAGATCCCCTTTGGGATGTCGATGAGGCCAGTCCTCCGCACACACTTTGCCCTTAGAGCTGGTGGTCGGGGCCCCGATTCGACGCGGGGTGGGGCGTGGGGCTGTGGGCTGTGGGGTGCGCGAATTTGGATTTTAAGCCCTTGGTGGACACCAGTTGCTTTAGAAAATTTGTTATGTCGACTTCCATGAGCTGAAATGAAGATTGTTCATTTTCCCCTGTTGGTTTTGAAGGGAACCGCTTTCGCTGCTGGAAATATGTTCACACCTGTTTGGGGGCGGGACAAACACGTCAATGGAGGCCACCAACCAGGTTTGAGGGCGTTCCCAAATCAAATTTCGCAGCCACAGCTTCGGGTCGAACCTTGTTGGGTCGAAGGTTTTGATCTGCAGCCTGTGCGGTGTGCATGTTCAGGCTGCCACTTTCAGACGGGTTTCATAGTTTGACGGGAAACCTCCATGAGAGCCACCATTTTGTCCCCCCCCCCCCAATTTTGTTGTAGGATTTGTGGTGAATATTATGACTCATCATGCTGGGAGCATGGCAAGGTTTGCAACCTTATCCCAGCCAAACCAGCAAATGGTTGTTGAAGCTTCTCCAGAATAACTTGCTGGTGACCGGCAGGGAATGAGGCAATGACCTTCAGAGAAAAAAAACACAAAAAAAACAAAAACAATGCTGGTGTCCCTTTTGTTTCCGGGACCCCTGGCTGGAGCAGGGAAATGAGGGAATGATCCGTATAAACCATCCCTTGTGGTTTCCTTTACGCCTGATTTCATTCCATTTCACATTCCCTATAGCGATTTCGCACGGTTGGAAGGCTCCCGAACCCAAGCTGACTCGAATGTCTCAAATGGGGGGTTTTGCCATTTGGCCGTGGGTCAAAACCAATTGGATCCCATTTTGGGCTAGGTGCACCACATATTTTAGAACTTATTTTAGTGGGGATTGGGATGTTCACTGGGGGTACGGGATTTTGACCCATGGCCATTTGTCTCCCCATTCTCTTTACCTATGCGTTCTCTTTAGAACCCACCCTTCCGAACGCAGCCTTTTTTGCCAGTTGCCAGTTTTGGAAGAGAGCCCATTTTGCCAGTTGCGGTTTTTTTGAAGAGAAGGATCCCTGAAGAGATCGGAACGCGAGCGTCGGCTAGAGTCTAGAGTGCTTGACATGACCCTTGCCTTGGCTCCAGCGACGCGGAACGACGTGCCTTGCGCCTGCGTTGGAGACACGCGCATGGAGGGGACGGAGGTTCTAGCCGCCCGGCCGCGGATGGGCGGGTGAAGAGCCTAGAGGCGGCATCGAGTCAAGAGAAGGGGTGATCCTACTGACTCCTTCTGTCAGGAAGATGGTTGAAAAGGGTTTCCCAGCCATTTCCCACTAACTCCTCCTATCAAGAAGATGGGTTTCCCAGCCATTGCCCACTGACTCCTCCTATCAGGAAGATGGTTGAAGAGGGTGTCCCAGCCATTTCTCACTGACTCCTATCAAGAAGATGGTTGAAGAGGGTTTCCCAGCCATTTCCCACTGACTCCGCCTGTCAGGAAGATGGTTGAAGAGGGTGTCCAGGCCATTTCCCACTGACTCCTCCTGTCAGGAAGATGGTTGAAGAGGGTTTTCCAGCCATTTCCCACTGACTCATCCTGTCAGGAAGATGGTTGAAGAGGGTGTCCCAGCCATTTCCCACTGACTCCTCCTGTCAAGAAGATGGTTGAAAAGGGTTTCCCAGCCATTTCCCACCGACTCCTCCTGTCAGGAAGATGGTTGAAGAGGGTGTCCCAGCCAATACCCCCACTCACTCCTCCTATCAAGAAGATGCTTGAAGAGGGTCCCAGCCATTTCCCACCGACTCCTCCTGTCAGGAAGATGGTTGAAAAGGGTGTCCCAGCCAATACCCCCACTCACTCCTCCTATCAAGAAGATGGTTGAAGAGGGTGTCCCAGCCATTTCCCACTGACTCCTCCTGTCAGGAAGATGGTTGAAAAGGGTTTCCCAGCCAATGTTCACTGACTCCTTCTGTCAGGAAGATGGTTGAAGAGGGTGTCCCAGCCATTTCCCCTTTTTGAAAGCTCCAAAAGTGGCAGTTTGCATGGAAACCATCAGTAAATTGCAACTTTTGAAGGGGAAACCCAGTGTCCCCGGTTGAATTACCCCTGATTGCCGGAGGATTCCTTTCACATTGCTTGACCTGTGTGGCGAGAGAAAACACCCGGAGTTTAATATCTGGTAAGCTTGCTGGAAACTTACTTCGGCTCATGCCCTTTTCAGAAGGGGACTGTTTGTGTTGAAGCCCAACCTCTTGTTTTGGCTCATCATAACATGTACCACCAAGGGAATGTGAGCGCTTAAAATTAATGGGCCCGTCCGTCCCCCCCGATGTTTCCAGCTTGCCCCGTCACCAGGCTGTCAGTTGAGCCTTCCCATTGATTGTAACATGGCCCAAAAGATTCACTCAACTGATTACCCATGCAAAAATCTAAAACCTCGCGGCAGAACAAGGCGACAAGCTCCAAAGCACCCTATTTCTTGGCATTGGTAGGGACAGTCATCAACCCTGAGGGATTTTAGAAACCACTGGCAAGAATTTGAGCGAGCCGCTTGCCGGTCTGGCTGGATCCGTTTGCTCGGTTGCTCAGCTCCGGTGCCGACTTGACTCAAACCCAAAGACCCATCAGCCATCGAATGTGGGGTGTTTCTCATCAGGGTTTTGTGATCAAGGGGTTTATCCCCACTTCCGCGATACAAGGGAATCCCCTCTTCAATTGGGGTAGTCTTTGGGAGGCCCTTGTTGTTGTATCACAGAAGTGGATTCCATTTCCCACAGCCCTGGTTGGTTTCCCTTCAGCTTGGTTTCCCCCAGGTGCAGTGCCACGGGCTCTCGCGGACCTGCAGTGTGGTTTGCAGCCCCCAGGACGGCGATCTCCGCCTCGCGCGTGAGAAATGGGCGGGCGCGTCGCCTTTTGTTTTGGGCCGTTGTCCTGGTTCCAGGTGGGGTTGGTATGGCTTCTCTTTCTACTCGAAACCAGCTACCGGAGATTGGATCCGACTTTCGAACGCACCCCGTGGTGGATGTTTGACGATTTTCCGGCAGATTTGTTGCTGGCTCGCTGTGTTATATCACTCGCTTTGGAAAACCCCCTTCGCCACCGTGTGTTCTAAAGGGAAACCACATGGAAAACCGAGGCCATGGGGGGGTCCCCTAAAAAAAGACACAGCCAAATGCCTGGGATTTCGAGGGTCGCCAAACCAGGAGGCTTGGCATCGTGGCTTGCGGCGGTAATTTTGACCAGAAGGCGAACTTGCGATTTTGACTCTCATTCAGCATGTTGAGGCAACTGTATAGTAGGCAACAAAGAAGATTCCAGTTCACTGGCAAGCAAGGAAACTATCAAGAGGCCAACTGGCGCAGAATTTCCTGCTGTGTCTACTGGCTTAGAGTTCGAACATCTTCAAAGGGCACCGAAAAGGTCTGCATGTCATCCACAGCAAAGGTCAGCAGGTGATAGTGAGGGCCCCTATCTTATGGGAAAGTTCTCAAGAACCCATCTAAAACGGTTCTAACAACCATTTGGGTGTGTCTTTGTTGGGACCCCCCCAAAAAGAAGAAGGTGGTTTTGGAAGCAGGTGTCCCTTTGAAGCCACCAACAAAGGGTGACCCTCAAAACAGCTGGGGGTCTCGAACTTTCTCCTAAGGACCAAGAGGACCAACAACTCTCAGGTTCCCAACATTTTTTTTCTAACTGTTTTTTGGGTGGCTGCCCCACTAAAAATGGTCTTCCCAAAAAGGGTTCCCGGTTGCGGTGGCCCGTGCCTGGTGTGGCAACTATGCTGGCTTTCGCCGCTTTCTGTCGTGGCGTGGTGCTGTTCACCCTGAGCCTCTGGCCAACAGCAATGGTATTGCCCAAGGGTGTTCCCTTTCTGTGCTTGCGGCCAATGTCCTGATGACGGCGTGGTCGCTCCTCATTCGCCATTTCCCAGGTGTCACGCCTAGGGTCTTCGTTGATGATGGGTATATGACGGTGACCACCTTGGAGGCAGTGCCCAACCTGGTGCAGGCGGTCCGTGCTACCTCCCTGTTTGATGCCCTGGCGGGCCAGCAGTTCAACCTCCACAAGTCAGGCTGGTGGGCCACCCAGGATGCTTGTGTGGCTGAGCTTGAGCCTGCCTTGCCTCAGGCCCCCCGCCTGAAAGCCCTGCGTCCCTTGGGTGTCACTATCAATTTGGATCTCCGCGGCACTCGGGATGCTCGTGCTCCGGCAGTTACGAGCTTTCGGCGGGCGCTCCGTGCCATACGGAGTCTCCCGCTCTCAGCTGCCTCCAAGGCTTCCTACATTGCTCGGAAGGCCATGCCCATGCTGTCGTACGCGGCTGAGCTCAACTTTGTGCCCAAGCGTGTCCTCTCTGCCCTTGCTTCGGAGGTCGCTTCTGTCCTCTGGGATGGTCGGCCCATGTGGAGGTCCCGGGAGCTGCTGCTTGCCGTTGTCCATCCGGGTCACTTGGTCCATCCTGAATATGCCCTGCCGTACCGCACCATTCTCAATGTTGCGGCCCATCTTCAGCGCTCGGAGGTCTTTAGCATCAAGTGGAGGCTTGCCTTTACTAACCAGCGCCTGCTGCCCTCTACTCTTGTGGCGGCTTTCTTGTCGGCTGTCACTGCTTGCGGTCTCCGTTTCCAGGCCCCTGCCTCGGTTGCCTTTGATCCTGGCCCCTGGCTTTCGCTCTTTGGCATGTCTCTGCGCTCGCTCAAGCGCTTGCTCCAGTGGACCATACCCCAGCATGCCTACATGCGGGCCTGCCGTGGCAAGCGTGCCGACATTGCCCATGGCCCCACGGGCCTCCTGGATGTCGCCTTCTCTCGCTGTCCTTGGCGTGTTCCCCCTTGTCCTCGGTGGACCTCCTTTGCCCGTCTCTTTCCTTCCAGGAAGGCCGTTGCTCCGGCGGTTGTAGTTGGTTCGGCTGTCACTGCAGACAGGCTCCATGCTTCTGGGTTGTCCGGGGGCTCTCTTTGTCGGTACTGTGGTCGGGAGCAGGAGACCCTTGGTCACCTTGTTGGGTGTCAGGCCCT